CAGATCTCCCACATGGGTGGCAGGGTCTCAGCTACTTGGACCATCTTCTGCTGCTTTGCAAGACACATTAGTAGGAGCTGGATAGAAAATGGATCCGCCGGGACTCAAACTGGCCCTCTGTGGAATGCTGGTGTCACAGACAGCAGTTTAACCCACCAACCCCTGGATGTTTCTAATAAAATTCCATGTAGGGCAGGTAGACTTTCATGCCTGGCTTCCGTTCATTTAGCGTCATGGTTTTGAAGGTCCACCCATTGTGCAGTATGTCCCTTGTATAATGGCCTGGCACTGATCAGCTACCAGTCTTTGGGTTGTCTCCCTGTCCGGCCGTCATGAATAGCGCTGCTGTGAGCACGCGCATTTCCGTTCCTCAAGGGAGATGCATTATTGGCACAGTCCTGTGTATTGGTGAAGAGGAGCACTTGAAGCAGGGTTGGAGGGGGATATAACAGTGCATTTCCTTACCCTAACCTTTCTGCATGAAAGCTTATGCATGAAAGTTATTTCCTGTGTGCTGTCCTAATGGAAAGCCAGGCACCTCACCCCTTACCAAACAGCCTGTGGGTCAGAGTCTGAGGTCCATGTCCCCAGGGTGTCCTGGCATCACTGTGGAGCAGTCTTGCCTCCCTGGAGAAGGGTTGGCACACTTCACTTGGCTTTATGGTATGGAGAGAGCCAATAATAAGGTTGGAGCGGTGAAGCAGAGCTGGAGTAGAGCAGTGTGGATAGGATGGCCAGTTGTTTTGCTTAATTAAGCACTGGGGCGACTGGTGCATCCCTGGCTCTCACGCATCCCACCTTTGCAATGATGATGATGGTTGTAAAGGAGAAGGTAAGTGTGTCTCAGTCTTTGGGGGCTGCTGTTCACCCCTCAGAGCTGTAACTCCTTCCTGACGATGCCCCACCTGCAGCTGAAGTGCTGGCTATGAGAGAGCCCCAGGCTGCTCCCAGGAACCCCTGCCAGCGCTGTAGGGGTTCTTACTTGACTGCTGTCTGATTGGCAGCCCCGTCATAGGTTGGTCGTTGTCCCGTGTAGAGGGTGGAGCTGCTGTCTTGTGTGCGGTGTCTTGTGTCTGTGTGCGGTGGAAACTGTCTTGGTTTTCTGTTCTGTTTTCCTGCCTGTTTGTTCGTGCGTCGGGAGTTCTCCCTCGCGAGCCCCCAGCCCCACATCTTTTTTCATCTTCCACGTTTTCCCAGGCCTTCTTGTAATGTTTGGCAATCTGGTGGAGACTCGAGTGTCCTCTAGGAGGATGCCATCAAAGGGGTAGGGTGGAGTGGGTGTGGGTTGCATGTAATGACTTTAATAAACTGACTGTAAGATCCTTGTGCCTCTGTATGCATGAGTACCGAAGGGCTCTAATGGCTATATCATTGTCATTTCTCCCAAAACCTATTGAAGAATATTTTATTAAAGTAGTCTTGAACAATTAGAGGGTAAAGGGGAGAGTCAGAGAGAGAATGTTAAAATCAAGTGAATTTGGAGGTTTTCTGCACCGTTTTTGCAACCGTTTTTTGAGATTACTTCAAGTCAGAACAGCTCTAAGGTTGTTAGGTTCCCACCATCACATTTGCAAATGCTTTCTAGAAGTCTCCCACCTTTAGAAAGATTCCTTTTAGACTCTTTTAGACTCTCCACTTTTAGAAAGACTCCTCCCTGACAGGTGGCAGACCTGGACCCTCCCTTGCTTCACGCATTGACTGAACTCTGCAAAGATGCCCACCCCTGGTCAGGCACAGTGGCCTGTCACTCGTGGTCTGTGCTTCCCCACTGCCAGCTGGCCGTCCTGGGAGCCACCTACATTTCCTGAGGGATGTTGGTGCAGTCTTTGAGCCAGGCTCAGGGCCCAGTGCAATCAGGGGTGCTGGGAAGGAGACCAAGCCGCTGAGGGGACCTGACGGGGCTGAGAAGGAAGGAAGAAAGCACTGGGGAACTTCACTCTGGGGTCCCCATCTCATAGGGAGTCGGGATGGAGAAGCTGCCCGAGATCCCAGTCCCCTTACTGTGATTCGAAAGCCTCAGCATGAACCTATATGAGATCCTGACACTTGCAGGGGGAAGATTAGGCAACTGAGCTATTGTGCTGAGCCCCAGGAGTCTTATTTTTAGTCTGCGGCTATACCACCTTAAATGACCATACCACCTTAAACGGCCATATCACACTAAATGTGCCTGGGGGGGGGGGGAGGGCTCTGACTGCACGCCCCTGTGTCTCATTCCTGTGCCGTGTCCGTGGGACATGTTTGATTACACGCCCCCCCCCACCAGTTGTGGAAGAGCAGTTGTTTGCACAGATCCTGTCCATCTTGTTGGTGGCACCATGAGAACCGGGACTGTGACTTTAGGCAAATAGCAGCAGGCCTCCAATTCTGATGAAAATCTGTCCTCAGTGGTGACAGGACAGTGACATGTTAGCTTGTTTGTAAGCTGCTAGGAGTCCTGACTGTTAAGGTAGATAAGGCTTTCTGCTGTTAGTCAGATTTAAGAAACTGGATTCACACACACACACACACACACAAAGTGTTTGCATTTTCACAAGTTTCTAATTTCTTGCTGTACAACCAAGAAGAGCAGCATCATTTATGTGCTAATGTCCCAACTGAGGGAGAAACCTTTAAATAAACAACCCATTAGTCTTTGGAATAAAAAGCTAAGCAGCAACAGATGCATGAAATTGCTAATTCTTCACCCCTCTCTCTGAACACCAGTTGGAGCTTCAGAATGCCTGTAGGGTCAGACCTACATATTCAGAAAATGTGTCTTGTGGTTTGGGGTGTATGTGTAGCACGTCTCGAGTCACTGTGGTAAGTCATGACATTTGCTGGTGAGTTTCGCGTTTTGAAACTATAGATACTTGGGCCCGGCATGGTAGCCTAATGGCTAAAGTCCTCACCTTGCATTTGCTGAATCCCATTTGGGCGCAGGTATGTTTCCGGGCTGCTCCGCTTCCCATCCAGCTCCCTGCTTGTGGCCTGGGAAAGGAGTGGAGGACGGCCCAAAGCCTTGGGACCCTGCACCCCCGTGGGAGACCTGGAGGAGGAAGCTCCGGGCTCCTGACTTCAGATCAGCTCAGCTCCAGTTGTTATGGCCACTTGGGGAGTGAACCAGCAGGTGGAAGATCTGTCTCTCCTTCTCTCTGTAAATCTGCCTTTCCAATAAAAATAAATATTAAAGAAAAGAAAACATGGATACTCATTAGGTGAGCCAAAATCTTTTTCTTTCAAAATAACTTTTAGAGTCTTCATGACACTGATCTAAATCACATTTGGAGGCATATAGTGGTACTCCAGATAGGGAGTATATATAATTGTATATATAATTGTAGATTCATGTGTGCATATATATATATATATATATATATATACATATATACATAAATGCTCAAAAAGTTCATGAAAATGCATCTTATGGATAAGCTATGCATGGATTTTGAATATTTTTTGCACTGAAGTTTATCCTTTTTAAGCGTTTATTTTATTTGAAAGCAAGAGCTACACAGAGAGAATCTTCCATGTACTGGTTCACTACCCAAATGGCTAGAACAGTCAGAGCTGAGCTAATCAGGAGCCAGAAGTCAAGAGCTTCATCTGGGTCTCCTGCGTAGGTGCAGGGGTCCAGAGACTTTAGCCATCCTCTGCTGCTTTCCCAGGCTGTAGGCAAAACATTGGATCAGAAGTGGAGCAGCCGGGACTTGAACCGGCCTCCACGTGTGATGCTGACACTGAAGGAGGAGACTTTGCCATGGTACCAGTCTCTGAAATTTTATCTTCTGATGCCATCTTCCAGGAACATTTGAAGCACCCATTTTTCCTCACGTGCATGACCTAGACCACAGCTCTCCACAGTGACGCGTGTGCCCCACTCCCTGTAATGCAGAAGAAGTCCTTGGCTGAGGCTGAGGGGCCAAAGCTCTGCTCGGGTGGGGCCTCAGCTGACAGAGCCTCAGGTGGCAGCTGTGTTGTGCTGTGTGTTTCTTGGCCCTGCTTCTGGCTGGCACCTTTATGCAAAAGATATTTGTTCACCAGTTACTCTGCTAGCGTTGAGGGTGCCAGGGACACCCCAGTGACCAACAAACAGCCCCTGGCACCCTGGAGAGTTGGCTGTAGGGAGCTCATGTTTCCGGAGGAGCTTCCATTCATGGTGGCTTTACCCATGGCAGGCAGGACGGTTTACCAAGGCCAGAATTAGCACATGTCTGTGGCTTGCGGTGTTGGTTTAGTTTTTGACTCATCTGTGTCAAGGATTGCCCCTGGCTAACAGAAGCCACGGCAGTGTAGGCTGTCTCATGTTTTCTCTTGGATATTATTCCTGTCTTTATCAAGGCAGAAAGCTGAAGGATGCTGGCAGCAACCCCTTACTGCACACTCCAAGCACGTGGACTAATTCATTATGTGCTCGCTACCTGCCTGTCAGAGCTTATCATCACTGAGCGTTAGAGGACTTAACCTTGCCTGAGAAATCATAGCTGTACTGGGGTTCAAACCCAAGTTGGAATGCTCCTGTGGCTCCATCATACTGCCTTCCTGAGCATCATACAACTGTATTTTTTTTTTAAGATTCATGTGATTTTATTTGAAGGAGTGATAGAGACAGAGAGATCTTCCATCTGAAGGCTCCCTCCCCACCCCACAGATAGCTACAATGGCCAGGCTGAATGCAAAAGCCAGGAGCTTCCTCCAGATCCCCAACCTGGGTGCAGGGACCCAAGCACTTGGGCCATCTCCCACTGCTTTTCCAGGCACATTAGCAAGAAGCTGCATCGGAAGTGGAGCAGCCGGGACTCAAACCTTTGTCCGTTTGAGCTGCTGGCACCGCAGGTAGTGTGGCTTCTACTTGGTACACCTCAAAGCCGGCCCCATTCGGTAATGTTTTAAAAGGATGGTTTCAGTGTTTATGGTTTGCAACTGGCATAGAATACATCTATCAGAATTCTAGTATATGCCTTTCATCTGCCCAAGGACCATGCCAAGAATCTCTCATGGCGTTTGTCTCTCTGGTTCAGGGTCCAGGTGGAAGGTTTGAAGGCTGCAGAAGATCAGTGGAGACAGCTGTTTGGCGCCTCTGTTCCTGACCCCTAGTCGGCCTTCAGCAGCAGTCACCTGCAAGGCTTCGCTCACCTCGCACTGTAGTCCGGAGTGGACATGTTCAGCTCTGAGATGACCATCAGTGGCCTCACTGCAGATCTCACTGCCAAGGAAGCCAGCAGGCCCAGCAGGAAGCAACTCAGTGACATCCAGAACTCCTGCCCGTCTTTCCGTGCTGGAGCCCGGCACAAGTCCCTCAGCATAAAGGACAAGATATCAGAATGGGAAGGGAAGAAGGAGGTGGCAGGTTCTGCTTCTGGCCGGAGGACAGACGGAGAAGGAGAATGCCCACAGTCCTGTGTGACGGAGAGAAGTGGTGAGGCAGTGAGACCTCGGGCCACCGAGCCCAAGGACCGAGCGAGGCCGGGAACAGAGCACGTGGAGAAGGAGAGGCACCGAAGAGGGGTCAGGGCCAAGGGACAGGATGCTCCTGAGCTGGGACAAGACCGCAGCCAACCAGACGGGGAGCTGGAGGCGCGATCTGCCAGGCGTGTTCCCAATGATCACCTGTCGGTGCTAAAGCAGGTGAAGAAACTAGAGCAGGCTCTGAAGGACGGCTCAGCCGGGCTGGACCCCCAGCCGCCGGGGACCTGTTACTCCCCACACTGCCTGCCTGAGAGGGCCGAAGAGGGGCTGCCCCTCCCTGAGACCGGCCGAGGCAGGGCTGGCTCGGAAGTCAGCCCGCAGCAGCAGCGGCAGCATCTTGGCCAGGCCTGGGAGCTGGAAGGCAAGGAACCTGACCCCGAGGCTACAGGCTTGGAGGGATGTGCCCCAAAGCCCTTCATCAACCCCCTTCCGAAGCCCCGGAGGACGTTCAGACATGCCGGGGAGGGGGACCAGGACAGGAATCTCGGTGTTGCCACGACTGGAAGCTTCAGGAAGGAGAAAAGAAACCTGCCTCCTCTGCCTGCCCTTCCTCCCCCACCCCTGCCCTCCTCACCCCCGCCTCCCTCAGTGACCCGGAGACTGGGGAACTCAAGGCAGAAGTCCAGTGCGGACCACAGGTAGGTGCCAGCTGGCCCGGCCACGGCAGTGCCTGGTGACCGCCTGCAGCTTGATTGGTGATTATAACAGAGGAATCTTGTAGCTCATCCAGCTGAAGGTAGCTTGCTGCAGCCTGGAAACATGATACCCGATAGTCTTAATCCTCAGAAAAGAGTGTCCGTTTTTAAAAACATACCTGTTGAGTGTGATAGCCTTGCCATTGACACAGTCAATGAGAGTGAAATGAAGAACTTGGGTTAATGTGGGCAGCGTAACCAGTAGACCTTGGTAACTGCTGCTAACAGTAACCATGTCTTTGGGTCTTTGGGGCTCTTCTTTGTCTATTTTTTCCTTGGTGCAGGTTCTAGAAACATTAGTTCGCTCTAAAGCTCTCTGTGACACCCTCAGAAGTCACTTAGCTGTTCCTTATTGTTATATATGGATGTTTACACTTGTGATTTTTTTTTAAAAAAATTATTTTGTTTTTTTTGTTGGGAAGTCAGATATATAGAGAGAAAGGTCTTCAATCCGCTGATTCACTTTCCAAGTAGTCACAATAGCCAGAGCTGAGCTGATCCAAAGCCAGGATCCTGGAGCCTTTTCTGGGTCTCCCATGTGGGTGCAGGGTCCCAAGGCTTTGGGCTGTCCTCGACTGCTTTCCCAGGCCACAAGCAGGAAGCTGGTTGGGAAGTGGGGCCCACTGGGATTAGAGCCCATATGAGACCCCAGTGTGTACAAGGTGAGGGTTTTAGCTGCTAGGTTACCATGCTGGGCCCACACTTGTGAATATGTTAGAGTAAGGCAACACATTACGGGCTGGCACTGCAGTACAGCACGATAAACCACTGCCTGCGACACCCAGATCCTTTGGCAGCACTGGCTCACATCCCAGCGGCTCCAGCTTCCCGTGCAGCTCCTTGCTAATGCACCTGCAAAATCAGTGATGACTGGCTCAGTGGCGTTCCTGGCTCCTGGCTGCAGCCTGGTCCAGCCCTGGCTGTGGCGGCCATTGGGAGAGTCAGAGGAAGGACATCTCTGCTTCTCTCTTTCCTTGTGAGTCTGCTTTTCAAGTAAATAATAATCTTTTTTTAAATAATGGAAAATATGCTTTGAAAACTATGTATTTTCTGCTTTGAAACTCAATTTCTAATCCATGTGTGTCAGGTTGATACCCACGTACCCGGAAGCCAGTACACGTAGTGAAACAGTCATCCATACTTATTCTCATTGCTTCTTTGCCTGCTGTTTTTCTTTTTAGATTTATTTTATTTGTTTAAAAAACAGTTACAGGAAGAGATCTTCTATCTGCTGCTTTACTCTCCAAGTGACTGCAACACCTGGAGCTGGGCTGTTCTGAAGCCAGGAGCCAGGAGCTTCTGGGTCTCCCACAGCAATATGAACTTGGTTATGTATGTTTTTTGGTATATGTTGAGTAACTTTGGCTGGAATGCCTTAAGGCCGACATGTAACATGTGACTGCGTGTAAGTGTAAGCAGCAGCCCGAATCCCATGTATCTGCATACTTGGAGTATTTTACCATGAATTCAGATTTTCAAAATGTTAGTTTCACTTACTCATGTGACAGCTTTTAGATCTTTCTGAAACCAAATAACTTCACTGAAATTCCAACTTTGAAACTGACTGTCAGGGCTGGTGTTGTGTGGTTCAGCTGCTGCCTCTAGCTCCTACAGTGTGCGTGCTGCTTCAAGTACCAGCTGCTTCGCTTCTGATCCAGCTCCCTGCTAATGCATCAAGTGGCAGAGCATGGCCCAAGTCCTCGGGCCCCTGCATCTGTGTGGAGACCCATAAGAAACCCGAGGCTACTGCCTTCAGCTTGGCTCAGTCCTAGCTGCCACAGCCATTTGGTGAGTAGGCCAGCAGAGGAGACGTCTCTCTCTGCCTCCTCTCACTGCCTTTCAAATAAATGAATAAACCTTCAAAACACGCATACACACACATATACACACACAATCATGACTGTCTTGGCCTCACTTCAATTGATTCTTTCCTTGGGGCTTTAGTGTAAGATTTCTAGAACTTTCTGAGGACATGAACCCTCAAATCCTTAGGTACAGCTGCCAAATCCTACCGCTGGGTTGTTGAGTCCCCAGTGCCCATCTTCTGTACGGTGGACAGGGATCCCCACAGCTCCCTGGCTGGACAGCTGCCCTCGGCTATCCCAAGTTTAACAATGGGCTTTACCTAACCAGCCACACTGTGTCTGGCTCTGTTCACATGCTGCTTGAGGGTGTCTGAGTCCTCGAAATGACAACATCTTAAAAAGCCGAATGTTTAAAAATCTTGAAAGGAGCCAATTGGTGGATTAATTTGAGGTTTGGCGCAAAAGTGACTTGGAAAGCTGCTGAGAAATTTGATTTTGTAACAGCGCGCATTTCAGCAGTCACTGTGTTGGGAGACAGAGCCAGGGGTCGCCTTGCTGCCTCACAGCTCTGATCGTCATGGCTTGTTTCCCACAGAATGGTAGAGTCACTGCCTCTTGAGACTCCAGACTGACTGGATAGATAAAGTTTTGTTTATTTGCTTACTTGTTTTCCCATCCTTACATTTCTGTTTTGGATCCAGAGTAAGAAAAGCAGAAAGCTTATAGTCATGGTCCCCGTGGAAGGAATGAACTAACAAATGCAAGCTGGGAGCCAGGAAGCCTTCTCCTGCTGGGGCCCCCTGCTCTGAATACCTCGAGTGTGAGTGGCCTTGCCGTGGGTTGTGCTCAGTCTTGGGGAAGGGCTGACCATGGCCACTGAGGTGAAGGGGCAGGCACAAAGTGTCTGTGTGGCAACTAGAAGCAGGTGTAAGGAGCTAGGGCATGGCATTTCTGGTGCCAAGCCCTCCTGAATGTCTTAGGCTCTCCAAGCTTGCTGAACTCACTGTCTTGGAAGAAATGCATTTGAGAAGCTCACTATATATTTACTCAAGAATACACCTGCTTTTTTTTTTAAAACCCCAAAATGGGGATGATTGATGAGCAGTAGATGTGGCCATGAAGATCAGCTCTTAAATTATTTCCTTCTTTAACTCCATCAGTACCTATCTACTTGGCATGAACACCTGTTTAGTGTGTGGCATGAACAGGGCGGATTGCATCCCTGAGCTTTCTGGAACCCACAGACTAGGCCAGAGCCACCACTGCCAAGTTCATTGGAACAATCAGATCATTCTAGCATCTCGGAAACTAGACATTGCCAACCCTCAGGCCGGCACCAGAGGTCAGAGGAGGCGAAGTCAGGCGCAAAGGAGGTTACACCCTTCGCTGGAGCTGTGGGCTCCCCCAAGGCAGGGACAGCCGGCGTCATCCTCTCTAAACACAATGTGACCTACAGAAGGTACTCATTAAATGGGGGTGGACTGTGGAATGAGTGCTGGAACTGCCTTGGAGGGAGGAGCTGCTTTGAATGCAGTTGTGGGATTACAACAGCACCCAGTGCTGTGCAGATGGTGTCTGGCCTCCCGGGAAATGAAGACAGGCTCAGAGCGGGGATGGGGTGTGGGAAGTGAGTTTGATGCGCTATTGCAGGCCAGCCCTGCGACAGGAAAGAGGAGAGCTGAGCAGCAGAGGTGTGGCTGCAGGGTCAGGATAGGTGTACCGTGAGACCTTTTGGAACCTGCTGTATTGAGGGCCCTGGACAAAGATTTGGCTTTATCGTCTCAGAGCAGTGACTGTGTTTAAGAAGGGGAGACTCAGTCAGACCTGCTGTTGATTTAGAACTTATTCTGGCAGTGGCCTGGGGACATGACATGAAGGGGCACCGGTGGGCAAGGTGTGAGGGTGGAGGCAAGAACATGCAGGAGGTGTTGTGGAGCACCCTGTGGTGGTACTGTGTTGGGAACTGGGAGGAGTAGATGGGGTCAAGGGACGCTTTGAACTCCAGTGAATGGGTTAGAAGGGGATGAGCAGAGGGGAGGGCTGTGGGTGTGGCTGCCACGGTCAAGGCAAATCCTGGGGCTGGCCTCCCTGGGAGGGCCGTGCTGGCAGCAGGTCTGGCCCTTGTGGCAGAGGCCAGGGGAGGGTGAGGTCAGTTTGGGACTTGTTCATTCTGAAGGTCTGTGCACCGTCCCAATGGGATGAGCTCCCACAGTAGCATTTCATTGATGAAAATATGGAATAGCCTCGAATACCATTTGAAACATGAGCCAGCAGGTCAGGACTTCGCGTTGGTTATTGAAATGTAGAGATTACACAAATTACAGCCCACTGCAGCAGAGTTCTTTGGAACAGTCAGATCATTCTAGTACCTCCAAAGCCAGCAACAGCCAGCCCTCAAGGGACAATCATAGGAGACAGAGGTCAGGCTTATAGGAGGCTGCACCCCTTCCCTGGGCTGTGGGCTCCCTAAACCCACAGCCGGCTTGCTGACCTATAAGAAGTTATTACTGAACATGGGAACGGGCTGTGGAATGAGTTCCGGTAACACTTTTAGATGAGGCAGAAGCCACTGTGTGTATGATAATCAGTACTTAACCCTTCAGGATTTCCTTGCTTGCAAAGATGCAAATAGAGCTATTAGAATTTTTTTTTCCCAAGTAAAAAAGAAAACTTGCGGAAAAAAATTCTTGAGGGATTGGCTGGTTAGAATAGCATGATTTCTGCAGGTAGGTAGACCAGTCACCTATGTGGAAGTTTGGGAGAGGAGGCCTGATGTCTGGGCAAGCATTGAGGTAGACCATGGAAATAGCACTCAAGAGGATCTAAGCATGAAACACCGTTGCTCACCCATCTGTCACCAGGGTCTGGAAGGTGTTGAGAAGTCCAAGGTTGCTGTTGGATTTCTGTCTTCCCATTATTTCTAACAGGCCGTGTACAGATTTCTGGTTTCTTATGATATAATGACTGTGGTTCCTGTTGATTTAAAATCTGCATGTTAGACTTGTTGCTCCTAGCTCCAGGCTTTGAACTGCCCAAGATCTGACTTTTGGGGAGTGAACCGTAAGATAGACGATTTCTCTTGGGGCCTACGTAGTGTAGTGGGTTAAGCCTCCACCTGCAACAGTGATATCCCATAGGGTGCTGGTTTGAGTTATGGCTTCTCCGTTTCCTGTCTAGCTCCCTGCTAATGCTCCTGGGAAAGTAGCAGAAGATAACCCAAGTGCCTAGGTCCCTGCCACCTGGAGGAGTTCTTGGCTCCTGGTTTCAGCCCGGCCCAGCCTCAGCCATGTAGGGAGTGAACCAGTAGGTGGAAAATCTCTTTTTTTTTTTCTTTCTCTTTCACTCTGTCTCTTCTCTCTCAATTTGCCTTTCAAATGAAACAGTTTGTTTTTAGAAAAGCGCAAGTAAATGATAAGTTTATTTTGGTACAAATAAGTTTGAAATCTGTGCAGTGTTTTTTTCATAGCACACATTTTTACATGAATATTTTGAACAATAATTTTTTCATTGATTTCAAAACAATTTTTGGATCAAAATGTAATCTTGGGCCCGGCAGTGTGGCCTAACGGCAAAAGTCCTTGCCTTGAACGCGCCAGGATCCCATATGGGCGCTGGTTCTAATCCCAGCGGCTCCACTTCCCATCCAGCTCCCTGCCTGTGGCCTGGGAAAGCAGTCAAGGACGACCCAAAGCTTTGGGACCCTGCACCCGCGTGAGAGACCTGAAGGAAGTTCCTGACTCCTGGCTTTGGATCGGCCCAGCACCGGCTGTTGTGCTCACTTGGGGAGTGAATCATTGGATGGAGGATCTTCCTCTCTGTCTCTTCTCTGTATATCTGACTTTGTAATAAAAATAAATAAATCTTTTTAAAAATGTAATCTTCCCTTTTAACTCCATTTTCAGACTTTTAAAGTGCCCTTGAACTGTTCAACCAACAATCCCATCATCTCTTCGACTCTCCGGCACCTTGCTACCTGACGCAGGTGGTGTGCCTGTTGAGGACCCTGGCTCACCAGGGAACCCGGGAGTGCTGGGCTGCTCCAGCTTCTACAGCTTGCTCCGGACCACAGGCCACTGCCGGCCTAAGCCAGTGGCCACCTACGCTTGAACATGTTAGCGTGGGGGCTGATGCTGTGACATAACAGGTTCAGCCTCCATCACATTGTGGCACTGGCATCCCATATGGGCACCAGTGCGAGTCTTAGCTGCTACACTTCCAGTCCAGCAAGTGGAAGTTTCTTTCTCTCTCCTCTTTGTCTCTCCTTCTCTCTGTGTAACTCTGCCTTTCAAATAAAAAATAAAAATAAATAAATCTTTAAAAAAAAAATCAGGATGGTTCAGCCATTCAATAAAAGACCACAGCTCTGACCTGCCTGCCATGCCTAGACCCCATCTGCTTGGGCTCTTACACTTGGCTCTTCCTCTCCTGGCTGGCCCCTTCCAGGGGAGAGACATGGGACTCAGAGAATGGCAGTGCTTCCCCTGGGGCTGGACTTTTGCTAGTAATTCAGGCACCTCAGGGTGCAGGGGATACTTCCAACCTGTTAGACTTATTGAGGCTCTGTAGACCAAACCTGTAAGTTTGGCTTGCTGCTACCCTTAGTGCTGAGTTCAAGACTTCATGCTTCGTGAAGGAGCAGGGTGGGCAGGAGATCCAGGGTGATGGTTCAGATTTGGAGGTATTAAACTTTAGAGCCTGAAGAGGAACGTTGAACACAGCCTTAGCCCAGAAATAAGAAGATGAAGACAACTTCTTCCCCAGGAAAGAAAGGAAGGTCTGAGAAAGGAAATAGAGTGATGGTAGCATTGCACTGGGCTTCTCAAACCCTCGCTAGTGGACTTGTGTGAATCAGAATTAAAAGTTTTCAGAAAAGGGACAGCATAGTGGCATAGCAGGTTGATTCTCCACTGGCTCCCATCCCATATGGACACCAGTTCATGTCCTGGCTGCTCCACTTCCCATCCAGCTCCCTGCTTGTGGCCTGAGAAAGCAGCAGAGGATGGCCCAGTGCCTTGGGTCCCTGCCACCCAAGACCTGGCTGGATTTCTTGGCTTCAGACTGGCCGAACACTGCCTCTTGGCTAGCATTCAGGGAGTGAACTGGTAACAGATGATAAAATTTCTGTCGTGTCTATCTTTGAAATGAGCTGACAGAGCGATTTCAGAAATGGGCTGCATGCAGCAGCCAGATTGAGAGTAAAGGGAAGCGATGCGCCAGAGTGAACTAAGGGTCCAAGAGTCTGAATAAAGTATCTTAAGTGGGGCAAGCCCGAGTAGGTTAACAAAAAGGAAAAGATTTCAGTGGAGAGGAGGGACTTGCCAGGGCCTGGAAGGCAGGCAGGTGACCTCTGCCCAGTTGTGCCTGCCACGCTCCAGCTGTGTTCCCTGCAGTTCCACCTGTTTGAATGCCTGCCTGCCTGCCTGCCTTTCCCAGCTTCATCAAGTGCATCACATTCTGCAGCCTCAGGACCTCCACCTGTGTGTGTCCCCCCACTTTTTTTTATGCAACTTTGTTTTGATGCCTCAGCCCCTCCCTGATTCCTTGGCAAGGCTTTGTGGCATGTGTGCCCCGACGTAAGTTAAGGCCTTCACAGCTTCACTTGTTAATGACTTGTGTTATCCTATCACTGAGATGACCGCAGTTGGTAAGCACATTCGTTTGGGCATGGGCTGGTCGAACATCCGGTCTTCCACCTGGAGTGTAAGCTCTGTGAGGCTGAGACAGGGCCTGTTCTGGGCCCTCCTGAGTTATTGAACTTGAGCTTTGAGTGCCTGCAGGCAGTGAATGTGTAAGATCAGTCCACTGCTTCTCAGCTGGGTGGTACCCAAACAGTAGCTATAATAGTTAAGACTTGCTGAGTGCTTGCTAAGTGCCAGAGTCTGTGACTCCAACACTTCCCTCGCATTTTCTTTCTCTATTTTAGGCCAATCCTTTAATTACTCTTGTACCAGTCAGGACACTGAGTTTCAGCCGACTCAAGCAGTTCATCCAAGGTGGAGGGTGTGTGGCTGTGCATCTGAACCCAGATGCAAAGTAGTCTTAAATCTTAGAACCACTGGGAGGGCATCTTCCCCCAGGACTGGAGGGAGATGGAGAGCTCAACCCTGAGTTGTCACCCGCAGTTATTGGCCGTATGGCTTGTGCAGAACTCTGCTAGACATGTATGCACAGTCACAGGGCAGGGATTCCTGAGTCCCTGCAGCCTCCATGAGGAAGGGGCCTGGAGCACGTCAGTCAAGGCTGGCTTTAGGGGCTGGACTGTTTAGGGAAGAGCATGCATTTTTGGAAGAAATTCCCAATATCTTGCATGGAAGAGGAAGTGTACCTCTAGTCCCTGGCTGGGCAGGCTTGCGTGACTCCAGCTGGGAGAGTGTTGGGTAACTTTGTCTCTGCTTCTCTGTCTAAAATTCTGCCTTTCAAATAAATGATATACTTTATTTGAAAGATAAAGTGACAGAGAAGGAAAAAAAAAAACCAGAAAGCAAGAGAGGAGTGAGCTTGGGAGAGATCTTCCATCCAGTGCTGCTTCACTCTCCAAATGGTCACCACAGCCAAGGCTGAGTCAGGCCAAAGACAGGACCCAGGAACTTTATTCAGGTCTCCTTTGTGAGTGCAGGGACCAAAAGGGACCCAAAGACTTGGGCCATTCTCTGCTCCTTTCCCAAGCACATTAGCAGGAAGATGGTTTTGGAAGTGGGGAGCCATCAGGGCTTAACTGGTGGCCATGTGGGATGCCAGCACTGCTGGTGGAAGTTTAAGCAGTCCCACCACAGCACCTGCTCCTGCTTTACTGTTTCCATGCATCATGAAAGCACAGACATTCTCACAAGTAAAAGCTACATCTCCTTTTAATGGATTTTCACACCTTTTACACACACACACACACACACACACACACAGAATTAATATTGGTTAATAGGAATTTTTCGAAGAAAGGAAAAAAAAAATTGAAGCATGTATTCTCTCATCCAACCTGGTTTGATTCAAGTTCTCCTCCCATTTTGGCCAACCCAGGAAGTCCTACGAGTTTGAAGATCTGCTGCAATCTTCCTCTGAGAACAACAGGGTAGACTGGTACGCGCAGACCAAGTTGGGGCTCACACGCACTTTTTCGGAGGAGAACGTCTATGAAGACATCCTAGGTAAGAGGCTAGCTTGCCCTTTGCATAGGCGTGAGGCTGTGAGCCAGGGGCAGAGACGATGGGACTGGCTGCTTCACACATGCACGTATATATGTACACGCACACATGTGCACAGACTCCAAGATATTCATGTTCTCAAGTGTGTGAGTGCAGGTCAGTTGGATGGGAGCAGGCACCTGGGAGGGGCGACAGGGCATGGGACTGGAGGGCCTAGGGGCCACTGGCCATGCCCTGGCAGGGAGGAAGCATGCTGAGTGGGAGTCTCAAGGCCCCCGATGGATCTTGGTCCCACTCCTTGTTACCCATGTGACACTGAGCTAGGACTTCCCTTGTCTGAGCGTAGGTTCTCTCCTTGTATAACAAGGGTTGTTGAAGCACCCTCTCAGATCCCAAAGTTTGGACTCAGTAGACGGGATTTGATGACTTGGGTTGTCTTCAGGAGAAGGTCCCTGTGTCAGAGCTCAGTCCAGGTGCCTCTTAGGATGGGGGTGAGCAGTGAGGTGCATTAAGAGGGAGAAGCTGCCATGTATACATGTGAGGGACAGGCATACCCAGACAGATACCTGTGGCATCAGCAGTGCCAAAAGCAGCCCTGTGGGTGTGGAAAGCACCACCAGGAAGGACTTCCACTCTGGTGTGTAGCAGTGGGGCTGGGATCCTGTGAGAGCAGCAGGCCTCCCTGTTCGGAAGTGGGCCCAAGAGGCAAGTCAAAGGAACAAAAACCCAGCTAGAACAGCAAAGCGGGCAGGGAGCAGGCTCCTACAACCACAGCTGGCCGCCCCTACTTCCTCGGCCTCCATTTTCTGTCTCTCCAGCAGGCTGCACTCTGCAGGTTTTCATCAGCTCCCTGGAATTCTCACCTCCCAATGGGGCTAGGAGAGCTTGGGCACACTGTGAGTCCCAGCAGATGCCCTGGGCTTTGCCCTGGCCAGCCCAGCTGAGCTTCCAGGGAGGCCTTGACCTGTTCAACTTTGCTTTCAGATCATGAACCCTTCCCGCCCTCATCCCCGAGGCAGGGAGACTCAGGCACTGAGGCCCCAATCCTGGAGCTCATCCCAGGCAGGTGCAGATGTGGGGCCAGGGTGTCAACTACAGCAAATGTCAGGGTCAGATACCGAGAGGAGAGGGAGAGCATCTCAAAGCAGCAGACCATTCCTGCCAGGGCTATATTGGCATGGCCTCAAGTTGTTGTCCTAGGTGTTCCAGTAAGGAAAATGGGTTCAGCATGCCCAGGCCCCTGACCCGTTGCCTGTCCGCCACAGATCCACCCGTGAAAGAAAACCCGTATGAGGACGTCGAGCTGCACGGCCGCTGCCTGGGCAAGAAGTGTGTCCTGACCTTCCCTGGGTCTCCCACCCCTTCCATCCCTGACACGCCCACCAAGGTGAGAGCCACCGGGGGAGTGGTAGCAGGAGGTTGGGGGAGGGAGGCCAGGGTCCCAGCCCCTTGACCTTGAGCGTTGCAGAGTTGCAGGCCATCCTTGCTTCCAGGTATCTATATCTGTGCCTCAGTACCCCGAATGGCTGTGGTTACCTCTGTAACATCATTACCGGCATCCACAGTGAATTGCGAGTTCTAGTCTCAGCTGTTCTACTTGCAATCCATCCAGCTTTCTGCTAACGCACCTGGCAGGCAGCAGAAGATGGCTGAATAACTTGGGCTCCTGCTACCCATCTAGAAGTCCCGGATGGAGCTTCTGGCTCCTGGCTTCAGCTTAGCCCAGTCATAGCTGTTTTGTGTATAAATTCTTCCAGATCAGAACGTGTATATTCTGGGACAGGCTTGGGGCCTGGTAGTTAAGATGCCTGGTACCTAATTTAAGGTACCTGAGTTTCATGCTGGTGCCTCATCTCAGCTTCCTGCTTGTGTAGACCCTGGGAGGCAGCAGGGATGGCTCAAGCAATTGGGTCCCTGGACCCGCAAGGACTTGACTTTCCAGCTCCTGACTCCAGCCCCAGCCCAGACCTGGCCATTGCAGGTGTTTGGATATCCAACCAGCGGATGAGAGCTCTCTTTCTCTGTTGTGTCCATCTGTCTTTGTCTCTCTGTGCCTCTTTGCCTCTCAAGTAAGTAAACAAATAAATAAGATTTGTAAACACTGTAAGAATACATACATTTTGTTTCTTTGTGGTTCCCCTGAAGCCTAGCAGTAGTCATAACACAACGTAAAGTTGAAGAAATTAAGCAAAAGAAGGCCAAACAAATCCAATTTGCAAATGTCAGCTTCAGTTCCACTACAAGGATGTTTGCAGTTTAAAAAAAATAGCCATTTTCCTGTCCAGGCTCTACGGGGTCAGCCACAGGGGAGGGTCTACTGTGACGACATGGGTCAAGCCACTTCCCATCCTCTTGGCTCCCTCCTTCTGGCATCACCTCCTAGGGGGCAGGGTGTTAGATCATTGTACCACCATGCCGGTCCCTCTGTTATGTGTTTTTAAAACTTGCGTGTGGTCGGGGTTGTGCTTGTTTTGTAACTGCTGCATCCCATACCTAAGTGTCAATTTCAGTTCTGGCTCTTCCACTTCTAATCCAGCTTCCAGTTCATGTGCCTGGGAAAGCAGTGGATGGTATGCCAAGTACATGCGCTCACCCCGAGCCATGAAGGCTCACTTTGGTCTAATTTGCTCTTCTTCACCAATGATCCCTGTACCTGTTCGTGCTGTCCCTGCACAGCCCACTGAGCCTCCCATCCCCCTCCAAAAAGGCCCCTGGAGCCCCTTTCCCCCGTCACATCACCACTGGGAGATGCAGTCACATCTTCCCCAGAGCGCTGCTTATGCTTCAGACTCCTGTGCCTTGTTTGGGCTCCTTCTCTCTGCTTCCTGCTTGGACCTCCACATTGCTTGAATCTCCTTTGTAGAGATGCTGTTATCATCTAAATCTCTCACCAAAATGGAGACCTGCCTTTTGCCTACAGTCTGATGGGATCAGTCATTGCAATGAAAGAATTAGGAACATTTCCTTGGATTTTATTACGGATGATATTGAACAATGAGAAGGCTTGCCACCACTCCTTGGGTTTTTTTGTTTTTGTTTTTGTTTTCTGTTTGTGTGGCTAAGATGCCCGTCATGACCAAACTGGATTAGTTGCTCCCTACCAGAGAATTTATTATTAATTATACATCCACATTGGGTATATAAAACATTGCAGCTGGCCACTTATGGGTACTGGAGTCTATTTCTGGAAATCCTTAAAAATGAAAGATTCAGGAGTTATTGTTCCATACTCTTTGTAACTTCACAAGAATAGAGAAATCAGTAGAATGAAATGGGCCTACTCTATGAGACTTTAAGATATGGTGAATGTGACCTGATACTTTGATAAAGAAAAGCCTTGTTCATTTAGTGAAGTTGGGATAAGCTTGTCTGCAAAGAAAAGATTTAATCAACACGTCATGTATTAACTTAGTGATGGGTCAATGAGTAACATATGTTCAGAATAGGAAAGTGAATCCAGATGAAAATGGAATTAAATATTTATAAATCCTCTGAAAGATGGTAGAGGGCCCAGTGTTGTGGTGCCGCACCGTAAGCCGCCATCTCGCAGTGCCTGCAGAGTCCTGGCCATTCCAGTTCCAATCCAGCTTCCTTTTAATGTGCCTGGGAAGGCAGTGGGTAATGTTCCAAATAGTTGAACCCCAGCCACCCATTTGGGAGACCAGGGTGAGTTCCAGGTTGATAGCGGCAGTCTGTTTCAGACCTGGCTATTACTGCCGTTTGGGGAGTGAAGTAGCAGACAGGAAATCATTTTTTCTGTATGTTTCTTTTTCTCCCTCTTCATGCTCTACCTTTCAGGCCATTCAACAAATGAGTCTTTACCTCGGGATGCTGGACTGTCTGACATTGTCTGTACCAGCATTGTCAGGGCACACTTAAATAACAGACTGATGGAATTATAACTCTTTATGAAGGACTATAGTATTGCAGCAACATAGGGAAAATCTGTCAGGGGTGAGATTTTTGGAGGGGGGGATATCCCAGTCTGTACGAAATTGTACCATAAAATTCAAAAATTTAAAATAAAAACTTAACAAAAAGCAAATGAGTCTTTTAAAACATAAGACAGATTTTTCTAGACAAAGAAGGAAGAGATTAAGTGATTCACACGGGAAAAGATGAGCAGATTTTTGTATTTCAAAGTTACATAGAAAATTCCACATAGCTAACATAAACCTGCAAGTAAACCACACAGGAAAAAGAGACTTGCATCAAACTGACAAATAGCTAATATATATCTACATGGAGCTCATCCAGAACAATAGAAAAACTGGGCCTGCACCGTGGCATGGAGGCTAAGACTCTGCTTGCAGTGCCAGCACCCCAGATGGGAACCAGTTCAAGTCCCAGCTGCTCCGGTTGTGATCCAGCTCCGTGCTTGTGGCCTGGGAAAGCCACATAGCATGGCTTTGTATGGGAGGCCTGGAAGAAGCGCCAGGTTCCTGGCTTCTCACTGGCCTGTCTCCAGCCATTGGCAGCCATTTGGGGTGTGAATCAGCAATGAAAGATATTTTTTGTCTGTTGCTTCCTCTTTCTCTCTTTGTTAACTCCGCCTTTCAAATAAAAATAAATAATAATAAAAGAAAAATACTAAGACTCTAAAGGGTAATTGGCAAAGAAGATAATATACTAAGCCGAATGCAGTTAGCATTTTAAAGTATGAAATAAATAGAAAATAAACTTTTTTTGATTGCATACTCTCAGCCTGCTAGGTAATTTATATGTTTATTCTTTTAATTCATTCATCAGTACTAAAAATTAACCATATAACTCTGTGTGTGTGATCCTTAGAAAATATAGAGCCTAAGTGGTTCATTTATTGTGTTAGTATTATTTAGTGAGTAGTTAAACACTCATATTGCTTCACATGGAAGATAAAGGCATATGAAGAAAAGTATACTCACCCCCATTTGTTTCTTTTCTTTGAAGCAATTGCTGTTTCTCATCAGTTTGTTGTATATTCTTCCAGAGCTGTTCTGTGCATATAAACAGCACAAGAAAAATAGCTCCTTAAGGCATAAACACACACACACACACACACACACACTATCAGTGTACTGGCCCGACTGTTCTACCTGGCTTAGTATGCCTAACAGCGTGTATCTAAGGGACCCTTTCATATCAGTACAGTAAATAATTTTTTCTAAGTATTTGGTGGAGTAGAGACAGGTAACAGAGAAAGAGCAAGTTCCTCCCTACTTGTTCACTCGCTAAATCCCTGTGATGACTGGGCCAGGGACAAAGCCAGGAGCCAGGAAACCTATGCAGTCTTCCCAGGTGGGTGACAGGAGCCCAGTCCATCTATCTATCCCCAGGACCTCCCCGGGTCTGCATTAGCTGGAAGCTGGAGTCAGGAGCCGGAGCTAGGAATCAGACCCAGGCTCCCCTCCATGGGATGTGGGTGTATTCACCAGCATAATTTATTTGGCCGGCCTCTACCAATGAACATTAAGATGTTACAGTAATTTATGAGTACAGACATGCCATCTTATGTACTGTACTCTGCACAATGTGACTTTACTTGTACAGCATATTATTGCACAGCCATAAGCATGTCAGGCAGGTAGATTCCTGGAGGTGAAATTGCTGGATCCAGGTGTGCAGGCATTGGCGTACTCCAGGTTGCCTTCTGTATAGTTGTATCAATCTAGACCCCACGAAGGATGCGTGAAAGCCTGGAAGAGGCTTTCTCCCCTCACCTTCCCCCAATTTTTTTTTTAATCTTTGCTAGTCTTTGGGTGGGTGACACACGTGTCTTTAGTGGAGTTTTCATTTTCTCTAAAAGTGTTATTTATTACTTATTTGAAATACAGAGAATACAGAGAGAGAAAAATCAAACAAACCAACAAAATGAGCTCCTCCTCCCAACTCTTCATTCCTCCTATGCCCGTGAGGGTCAGCCCTGGTTAGGCAAACGCTGAGAACTGGAAGCTCAGTGCTGGTTTCCCACGTGGGTGGTAGGAATCTCGCCATATGAGCGATTGTTCCTGTCTCCCAGGATGCGCGTTAGTGGGAAGCTGGGGTAAGGAGCAGATCCAGGACTCTAACACAAGCCTTTTCCGATAGAAGAATGGTAGACATCATTACTGGCCACTTAACTGCTAGACCAAATGCCCGCTCCAGCTTTGTTTAATTTTTCCTGCAAGTGAAAATATATATAGATATATAGCTACAAATTGTATTTCCTCTTCTATAAACTTCTTTCTTTCTTTTGGCTTTTTCTCTTTTGAGTTGTTAGGGTTTTTTTCTCATTACTTTTGTAGTACATGTCTGGAAATACACTAGGAGTGTATTTTATGGAGTTCATTTATGTTGTGAGTTGTACCTTTTTTTTTGAAGATTGATTTAATTATTTTGAAAGAGCTATACAGGATGGGTGAGAGAAACAGATTTTCCATCTGCTCTTCAGATGGTTGCAATGGCCAGCCCTGGGCCAGACCAAAGCCAGAACCAGTAGCCCCATCTGGGTCTTCCTGTGGGTGGCAGGGGTCCAAACACTTGGACTGTCTTCCACCACTTTATCACACAGGCTCTCCATCACCAGAGTGTTTATTGAGCATGTGTTAACACAGAAGGACTCCACATAGCCCAGGGAGTGGACAAGTGCTCCTCCCCAGTGGACATCCCACCACCGCTCAGTCCCCCACCTACTGATTGACTCTGCCTTCCTCTCTTCCCCAAACAGCAGTCACTGTCCAAACCTGCTTTTTTCCGGCAAAATTCCGAGAGGAGGAACTTCAAACTGCTGGACACGAGGAAGCTGAGTCGGGATGGAACAGGGTCTCCTAAAGTCAGCCCCCCCTCCACACCCAGCAGCCCCGATGACACTTTCTTTAACCTTGGAGACCCACAGAATGGCAAGAAGAAGAGGAAGGTCCCCAAGGTAACACGTGCGATGGGCGGCTGTGCTCAGTTGCCCGGGAAGCTGGGTGGAGGCCCGAGCTGGGACATCTGAGAGTTATTGGGGTCCCACTCAGCCTTAGCTACTTTCTGGATCCCATGCCTCTCCCTGGAAGGCCACATCCTCCCTCTCCCGCCCCCACAGAGCTTGTGCCTGTGTGTTGTTCTGTTGTGCGCTGTTAGGATGAGTGAAATGTTCCCTCCATCTGTGCCTGAGAAAAAGGTTGCCATCAGACACATTCACAGGCAGAATGCATACAGCTGTCATCCACATGCCTGTGGGCGCCCTCACAAGCCAGAAGACAACCCTTAGCCCCCTTCCTCACATGAAGTCTGGACACCTTTACATCAGAGTGGGTGCTGACAGGGGAGGGTACTTAGGCTCAGGATGAGAAGACCAGCTTGAGTGCTTGTATCCTGGTTGAACAAAATGTGGTGGTAAGGAGAAGGCTGAGCTAGTTTAGCAGAGTTGACTGGCACACATTACTCTTGATCTTGACTCCTAGTTCCCGGTGATAAGAATGGTTCTTTCCTCCTGAAGCAGGCATCTTTTACATGAAGAATTTCACCTCCTGCTTACAGGGAGAAAAGGCGTGGTCCTTCTTGCACCTGCTGTTTTTCAAGGACCTTGGGTTCAAAATAATCAGTAAGCCAAAGTGGCACATTTGGGGTGGCATCTTCTGAGCTTCTTCGGTACCAACTTCCTAAGGAACTTAGAGAGCAGATTTTCATTTCCAGGCTCCATGGGAGGGGCTTTTGGGAAGGTGGGCAGTGCGGGGAAGGGTGTCTTAAAACCCACGAGATTCAGTGTGCATGTGTTTAGAGGTGAAGAGCATAGGATGACGGCCCTGGGTTGCATTGATTTTTCTACACGACCCATTGACCCGAGAGAACGTTGAAGGATATCGTGCGAGCCAGCTGCTCCCTGCCAGTTTGGCTGGTGCTCAGAGCCATGGTCTGATGCTGCCAGTCTCACCCTCAGCTTTTGTATTCAGCTGAAGTGCCAGAGTAAGCACTGAAGGGGAAGGGCAGTTAGGGCAGAAACCTAAACCCTGCAGCCTGGGGTTTGCTCGAGGAATGGGGAAGACATCTCACTTCATGGCGTTGGTCGACAGTGGTGCCAGGAGGAGCTTGGCGGAGAAGCCGCGGTTACAGAGAGAGCTGTCTGCTGGTTTATTTCTTAGATAACCACGACAGCCAGGGCTGGGTCAGGCCAAAAAACCAGGAGCCAGGAGTTTCTCTCAGGTCTCCCATGTGGATGCCAGAGGCCCAAGCACTTGGGCCATCTTCTGCTGCTTTCCCAGGCATTTTTTGCAGGGACTTGGGTTGGAAGCGGAGCAGTGTGGACACCAAGCCAAATGTAATATCAGCTTTGGAAGTTCACTGGCTTAAGTGGCTCACCTGATGGAACGACCCTCATCATCAACAGTCTTCAGAATCTTTGCGTCTTCCCAGGCAGAAAATCTGTACTCATTAACCCAAGATTCTGTTTTTCTGCCCTAATCCCTGGCAGCTAGCGTTTCTACTTCGTCTCCTGTGAGTTGGAGTATGCTGTGTGCCTGGAATAAGTGGAAACCTGTAGTATTGTTCTTTGTTATGGGTTGACTCCATTCAGCGCCATGTCCTTGCGGTTCTTCTGTGTGGAAGGATGTGTCAGAATCTCAACCCTCCAGGCATTGTGTGTAGTAGATTAAGCCTCCACCTGCTCTCCTGGCATCCCACCTGAGCATCAGTTTGAGTCCCACTGCTCCACTTCGAATCCAGCTCTCTGCTAATGCGCCTAGGAAAGCAACAGAGGGCGGCCTAAGTGGTTTCATCCCTGCACCTACATGGGAGACTTAGATGAAGCACTCTTAGCGGTCAGGAGAGCTCCCTGCAGGCCCAACAACAACTTGAACTTGTCACAGAAGCCGAGAAGGTTTGAGCCAGAAGTTACCTTTGAAATACTCTGACCTCAGTTTTCACATGAGGGCATTTAGACTCAGGCAGGCCATGTCAGTGGTGCATAGAAACCCAGCCAGCCAGAGGCAAAGGATTCAAAATGCGCTCAAAATTAAGATGGAAGTGGTCACAGAACATGTTGAATGGTTGTTATTGTACCTCTAATGACTCTAGAAACAGGATGAATTTCACAAGCCACGCTTAACAGCTGGCTTTAGAGCTCCCCTCTGTGTGTGGAATTCTGACCCACATGTGCCACGAATATGTACTCTTTGATAACACAGCCCTGGGGACTCAGGAAAGCGAAATCTGTAAATCCACATTCAGCAAAGAGGCAAAGCAAATACATAGGAAACACCAAACTCTTGGTCAGCAGGAAAAAAAAAAGTTGGCCCCTGAAAGAGGCCTGCTTTCACACACAAGTCAACCAGCCTGAACATGGCCTGGGACAGGGAGCAGTGGTGAGGACGTGGAGGCCTCCAGGGCTTTCTCTGAGGCTCAGCATGTGGTACTGCCCTGAGCGCACCTGGGAACCACACCTGTGTGGATTCAGAGCATTCTAGAACAAAGATTCTCTTCCGGATAAGGCCATTCATTCCATTGCAGAGGCCTGCACTATTGCAGTCCTGAGCGAGGCCTGGGGAGCCACTATGAGCCCGTTTCCCACCCCACTCAGGGCGGCTCAGACATTCTTTGGAATGGTTCCCACGAAAGAGGCCCTGCCTGGGAACTTTTTTTTTTTTTTTAACACATCTGTCACTTCCTTGTCTTGTTTTGTTTAGGGAGCAAAAGCTCCTTCCCAAGCCACAGTGACATCAAAGTGTCAGCGGGGAGCAGCTGCCACACCATGAGCCCCGTATCTCAGCCATGCATGTTGCATATTCAGACAGCAGCCACCGGTGAGGCTGTGCAACCAGCAGCCTCCTGCGGTTGCTATGACAGTCCCATTCCTATGCAACAGATAAAAATGAAAGAGTTATAGAAAGACGCCTGCTGGCCCAGGATCTGGTGGGGAGCATGCCTCTCCGTCGCTCCCTGGTGCTCAACCTGGGGTTGCGGGGCAGCCAAGGGAGCCCAGCCCCACATGGGGAAGCCACTGCTAACCCTGCCTTTCTTCTCCCGGTGTGTCTTGGCAGCTTGTGTTGCGAATCAACGCTATTTATGAGGCGCGGAGAGGGAAGAAGCGCGTGAAGAGGTTGTCCCAGTCCACAGAGAGCAACTCAGGAAAAGGTAGCGCCCCACAGCCACCCCTTCTCCCCCCAGGAGACTGCTTGCTTTGGGCAGCCGACTCCTATTTCTGATTGCTTGCCAAGGAGGAGAGCAAGTGGGCACCTGGCTGATGCTTGCCCCTGTCCGGGGCGGGGCTGGGCCAAGGTGTCCTCCATCATCTCAGCTTGAGCAGGCCTTCCCTGGCTTGCTAGATGTCAGTTGCCCTGGCTTCCACAGGCACGGAAGTGGCCCCGATCTCTTATCTGTGCTGTTGGATACAGGCGTCAGATTAAACCAGAGCTAAGTGAATTTGCAAACACATAGTTTGTCCATTACATTTAGGTAGGCCAAAAACAAAATAAATAAATAAGCTATCGTTTGTGAACTTGTGGATTTGTGCAGCCTCGTAGATAACGGGCGGGGGGAGGAGGGGTTGCCTTCGCACTCATATTTGCAACTTTCTTCGTTTTAATCCTAGTGACAGATGAAAACAGTGAGTCTGACAGCGACACCGAAGAAAAGCTGAAAGGTGAGGACAGTGTTGGCTCTGCAAGGAACACACACAGCACAGCCCAGGCAGAGCCAAGTGTGGTTGTCTGGGAGGACAGAAGGCCCAGCAGGTGCCCAGGGTGGGTCAGTCATGAGTGACCTGCTGGGACTATATGTTCTTGGCTCCCAATGCCCAGGGTGGCCATGCACCTGTAGCTATGCCTGCTGCCCTGCATCTCATCAGAAGTGCTTTCTGTGCCCTCACACAGATGCGATGCTTGCTGCTGGCATGGGAATCCAAAGGCCTAGCATTATTGCCCCACTTCTGTGCCAGTTGTCCTATGATCTCAGGGCCTCCAATTCCTCTTGTGGCACTGATCTTATTAAAAGAAGCAACCCCCATGGGCTTTAAAAAAAAAAAAAAGTATCTCTGTTCTAGATCCAGACTGTAGTCAGTTTTCCATATTTCCCAAACTTGGGAGAAACCTAAGAGAGATGGTCCAGGGTTTCTGAGTGAGGTGATGGCACCTGTCTGCTCAGGGGAGCCCGTGGATCAGAGCTGGACTGCTTCCCCCACTGAGTGCTGGGAGCTGCTGAGAGCCCAGGGCCAGCCAGGGCTCTGCCAGTTGAATTACACGGGATGTTTACAAAGCTCCCAGCTCCAAACACGCAAGGGTCTGGATTTTGTCACGTAGCACAAGCTGACAGACCAAGGAAATGACCGAAGAGAGGGGTCGGTGTCCCTAATCCGGGGACAGATGGCAGCAAGGTCTTCTTGGGGGCAGAGTTGAGTCGTCATGGTCGCAGGCTCCCGCGCCCTGATGGCTCTGCCCCCACTGCCGGATGGGGTTCCTCCCTAAAGATTGGCCAGGGGCCCGAATGAAGAGTATGCTGCTGACTAGTTAGATCTGGAAAGACAGTGGGCATTAGGAAAAGTGCTCAAGCTGGGAACGAAATAAGCTGGGACAACAGTTCCACAAAGGCTACGCTGGCAAGCAAGTCATGGCGACTTTCTCTCGTTCTCTTGCTTTCATACCAGCCCACAGCCGCCGCCTGGTCCATGTGAAGTCCCGCCTAAAGCAGGCCCCTCGGTACCTGTCACTCGATCGGGAGCTCATTGAATACCAGGAGAGGCAGCTCTTCGAGTACTTCGTGGTCGTGTCCTTGCACAAGAAGCAGGCCGGGGCTGCCTACGTGCCCGAGCTCACACAGCAGTTCCCTCTGAAGGTAAAGCATGGTCAGGACGTGCCACCTGCCAGGGCATGGCATGCTGTGGCCAAGGCCTGCTCCACTGTGACGCCCTGGCTGTGACGTGGTTGGGATTCAGCGAGTGTGGGAGGCTGAGGAACACTTCCTGTCCAGAGCTTTGGATGTGGCCCTGAATCATGGGGCACATCAAATACAAAACCTGCTGCTGGGGAGCTTGGAAGGGCCTAGAGACTGCAAGACCCAAAGTAAGAACAAAATGATTCTGTCACTTCCTGTGGTCCCCAGGCAGACCACAGCTGTCTCCTTGGCCCGCCTCATCCTCTTCCCCAGCCACATCTCTGGCTTCCGTGTTAAGCATCTGCCCATACGCTGTGCATCTCTGCACCTGCATGTGCAGAATCCTGTTGTCTTCTCATGTTCACATGGGTTTGGCTTGGCCACACATTAAATTGTGGCACCTGAAAGACAATGACAGGGACTAAAGGCTAAAATGACATGGCGCATTGTAGAGAAGGGATTCTTAGGCTTTTCCGTCAGTATTAAAGAGATGTCACCATGTTCTAATTTAGTTCGTTGTGAGAGCCCATGACAGCCAACTTGTGGTTTGCCCAGCCCCGGAGGGTTACAGAAATGAACACAGTGTGTGTTTCCTGTCCCTAGGAATTCATACTCTTGCTCACTGGTGGCTACAGATTGAGCATGCCCGAGGTGGGAGAAAGCATGTACTCAATAGGCAGAATATGATGATGTCCATGCAAACTTGGTGCCTCGGAGTGGGGAGAAGAGGGAGTAGGGGAGAGAGTGCCTGGCCTGGTCCAATCAGGGCCATCGTTTATCTAACACTAGCACCTGCCAAGGCCTGGGTCCTGGTGTCCCCCCTCCCCCGCCTCTTCTAATGTCTCTTCTTGCCATCCCAACCATCACAATCACACACAGTGCTCAAGTGCTGTCTATGCTTGGGGTGGAGAGTGAGGATGGGGATGGAAGTCAGCCACAGGCACAAGCCACCCATCCCCACCCTTCCTGCAGCTGCATAGCCCTAAGGCAGGATCCCTAAAAACCCCCTGCATGTGATCTGCCAGGAAATGGGTTGGGGGATGCCCAGGGGTATGAGGGGCTGCTGGTCCTGACTGAGCCCAGATGAGAACCTGACATCCTAGTGCTGCCCTCGGGGGCTGGCACAGGGCTGTGCCCATGGCAACACTCCGTTCATGTCCCTGGAATAAAGGCATTCATTACTGATTGTCAGAACCGTTGCATGCAGGTGGTTTCCAGCCTGGAGTTTCCAGACTTCTGGAGAACCAAATGCAATCCTTTAGAGTGCAAAGTTCATAGTGCTGGAAGAGGATTAATCAGACATGTACAGGGGGAAAGTCACCCATAATCCCAGCACACACATCATCACTCTGACCTTTTCGTTGTGTTTCATTCCCAACCTTTCCTCATGGTGTTATTTTCTTACAAAACCAAGGTCATGTGTTGCATGATTTTTGTATCCAGTTTCATGCACTGTTTGATAAACTTTCCATTATTAAGCGCATTTGGGAGGCAAACCAGCAGGTGGGAGTTGCCTTTTTCTCAAACAAATAAATAAAAAATTTTTAAATTTTAAAAATTAAAGGAGCTTCCTCCAGGTCTCCCACACAGGTGCAGGGTCCAAGGCTTTGGGCCATCCTCAACTGCTTTCCCAGTCCATAAGAAGGGAGCTGGATGGAAAGCGGGGTGCTGGGATTGGAATCAGTGCCCATATGGGATTCCAGTGTGTTCAAGGTGAGGACTTTAGCCACTAGGCCATGGCACTGGGCCCTATGCTTTTTTTTTTTTAAGGATGTATTTGTTTTGTTGAGAGTAGGAACAACAAAAAGAGAAGGAGATTGAGATTGTGCCCCCACTCCCAAATGGCCTCAACAGCCAGGTCTGGGCCAAGCTGAAGCCAGGAACCAGGAACTCCTTCCAGGTCTTCCATGTGAGTGGCAGGGTGCATTCATCTTGAGCCATCCTCTGCTGCCTCTCAGGGCGTGCGTGAGCAGGACGTTGGAATGGAGGAGGAAGCCAGTAGTGGATCCCAGGTACTCCAGTACGAGATAGGGCATCCCGAATGGCAGCTTCACGCCTGTGCTGTAGGTGTAGCATTTCAAGACTCTTTTAAAATACAGATTATTGTGACACAGTGAATTGAACTGCCTTTGAGTCCTAGCTACTCTATTCAGCTTCCTGCTAATGGACCTGGGAAAGCAGCAGAAGATGGCCCTGGTATTTGGGCCCTTGGCACCCACATGAGACACACAGATGCAGTTCTGATCTCTGGGCTCCTGCCTGGTCTGGCCTTGGCTGTTGAAGCCATTTGGGGAGTGAACCAGAAGATAAAATATTCTCTTCCGTTCCCTTCTCTCCCCCCCCCCCCCACTTTTTTTCTTTCCCTTCTCTTCTCCTCTCCTATTCTGTCTTTTAAATGAATAAGTCAACCCAACTTTATTCATTCGGATTTTTTTAAAAAAAGATTTATTTTCATTGGAAAGTCAGGTTTGCAGAGAGGAGAGACAGAAGGATATTCCATCCACTGCTTCACTCCCCAGAGGGGCCACAATAGCTGGAGCTGAGCCATTCCGAAGCCAAGAACCAGAAGCTTCCTCTGGGTCTCCCACGTGGGTGCAGGGTCCCAAGGTCTTGGGCCATCCTCGACTGCTTTCCCAGGGCACAGGCAGGGATCTGGATGAGAAGTGCAGCAGGGCTGCCGGGATTAGAACGGGAGCCCATATGGGATCCCGGCACATTCAAGGTGAGGACTTTAACTGCTAGGCTATCACACTGGGCCCTTAACCGAAACCTTTTCGTTACCGGACATTGAGCACAGGGAACATTTACCAGAGGCACACTTCTTTTCTCCAGGCTTGGGAAGAGGCTGAGGGGCATGGGAGACTGTGAGATAGAGTCCTCACCATCTCCTGCCTCTCTGCCAGGCCAGGGTTCATTCTGTAACCGATCTCACCTCTCTCCGAGCAGTTGGAAAGATCTTTCAAGTTCATGAGGGAGGCGGAGGACCAGCTGAAGGCCATTCCCCAGTTCTGCTTCCCCGATGCCAAGGACTGGGCTCCAGTGCAGCAGTTCACCAGGTATGTACTCGCATCTCCCCTCCAACCCCAGACACCAAGAGTTAGGGGTGGGGGCTGGTGCTGTGGCATAGTCAGCTAAAATCCACCTGCATCCCATCCACCTCTGACATCCCATGTGGACCCCAGTTCAAGTCCCGGTTGTTCTACTTCCCAGTCCAGCTCCCTAGTAATGTGCCTGGGAAAGCAGCACAGGAAGGCCCAAGTGCTCAGGTCCCTGCACCCACGTGGGAGACCTGGACGAGGCCTGGCTAGTGTCGGCCATTGCAGCCATCTGAGTGGTGAGCCAGCAAATGGAAGATCTCTCTTTTCTCCCCCTCTCTCTCTCCCTCTGTAACTCTGATTTTCAACTAAGTAAATATTCTTTTAAAAAAAATTAGAGAGTCACAGATGACCAACTGCATGAGTCTGCTGGACCCCAGCCTAGAGAGGTACCCTGATGTCTGGCAATCCATTTGTTCCAGAATCCTCTGAGAAGGTGATTCTGAGTCAGGGGAAATGTTGCGTCACCCGAGCTTATCCAGTGCCCTAAAGCATTTCCTCGACAGCCAGCGTGCCCGTTGCCAAGTGCTGCTGGCTCAGATGCCAGCGTCATCATCATTAGGTGTTTCAGTATTTAACCAAACTCAGTGGGCCACATCTCCGACGTGTCCCTGGAAGGTGGCCAGGAGTCTTTAAGGTTTAGTGTTGTCCCGAGCAGGACAAGGAACAGGCCCACCTGGGCTGCTTGCCGTCTCCCCGTGTCCTGTGATGGGTCTTCCTTTTGCCCTGGAATATGTTTCTTTTCCCCTTGCAGTGAAACGTTCTCGTTTGTCCTAACTGGAGAAGATGGGAGCAGAAGGTTCGGCTATTGCCGCAGACTGCTGGTGAGTAGACTCTGCCTCTCGGTCCTGGCCTTGGCCAGCTGCACCCAGTGCCTGGGAGGCAGGGGTGAGGGGAGGACTGGGGGAGGCCCAGGAGGCGTGGCAGAGTAACAGGATAGCACTCAGCTGCTGGTGGGCCCACCTGAGTTTTATTGGTAGGTGAGAAGCATGTCTGTTCCTGATGGAAAGAAAAATAAGTTTCTTCATTGTTTTAGGCCAGATGTGCTTAATTTTCTTCACCGCCCACCACTGATGTGCTGGACAGATCCTGATAGAGTATTCAGAATAGTTGCTGCTAAGAAAAGACTGAATAATCACCTTCAAAAGTCAGGAAGATTCCAATAAATCTATCCTGCTGAAACGTTTCAGAGCTAGTCTTTTTGAGACCCATTCTTTTGAAAAATGTTCAGTGACCATTTTCACCATGACCATATTTGGGTCTTAGAAATAAACTTAAAGGAGATTGTTGCAAATCAGGCTACTGCCTACGGTGCCAGCATCCCCTATGGGAGCCAGTTAGAGGCCTGGCTGCCCCACTCCTGATCCAGCTCCCTGCTAACGCACCTGGGAAAGCAGTGGAAGATGGGCCCACATCCTTGGGCCCCCATGTCTGCACCCACATGGGAAGTACTCCTGGCTCTGAGCTTGTGCCTTTCACCTGGCCCAGTCATGACCACTACAGCTATGTGGGGCATGACCCAGTGGGTCAAAGATTCTCTCTCTCTTCCTCTCTCCTCTCTTTCTTGCCTTCCCTCTTTGTAACTCTTTCAAATGAAATAAATAAATCTTCTTAACAAAAAACAGGCTGAATAAATTCGGAGTCCAGTATAACGTGTGGCATACAGTGAGCATCCAGCAAAAATAGTTTTAGTTAGTGAACAAATAGCGTGATGATTTTTAAAAAATGAAATGGAGTAATGATTTTATTGATCAAAGTGTTGAAATTGATTTTTCCTTTTTGTTTGAAAAAAAATAGCTCTCAGGAAAAAAAAAGATTGGTTTGAATGATCTTCAATAATGATTGCTCATTTGGAATTTTTCTAATGGTAATCATATATAGTCTCAAAGTAACTGCTTAGTAGGAACCGCAGTGATTTGGGCCAACAGGTTATGCTCCTTTCTGGTTCTGTAAGTCACTTTGAGCATAACACTCTTTGGGTCCTTCAGAGGTGTAAAATGGTATATGCACGGTGGGAAGTGCTTTCCCACCATAAAATGGGGTTAATAAATTTAGAAAATTACAAAATGAGGCCAAACTCAACCTCCTGCTAAGTGGCAGAAGCCTGGCACACGAGAGCACCTGCAGCGTCATTTCCGTTGTAAACTTCACAAATCCACACTGGGCAGGGCCACAGGGCCCTGGGGAGGCTGTGCACTAGCAGGGGGTCCTGGGTTGTTGGTCCAGGAGCTGGTTACTTAGCAAGGGTCGACCTATTTACTTAAGATGTGCGCTTTTCTATTTGTGTGTTTTCTTCCATCAGAGCTGGGAACATGGTAAAATAAATGCTTCTCCCACTTAGTTACAAAAAGCTCCTGGGTTCTTTCCTGGCCTGAGACTCTTAACACTCAAAATGTCCCTGTGTTTTTCTTCCGAAAGCCTGGAGGCAAAGGAAAGCGGCTTCCGGAAGTGTACTGCATCGTGAGCCGCCTGGGCTGCTTCAGCCTCTTCTCCAAGGTGAGCCAAGCGGGCGGGCGGGCGGGCACCCCCACCCACTGCTGCTCGGCATCTTATCCATGTCATCGCTGCCTTTGGTCTCTGTTACCCTCTTCCCTCATCATGGATACAGGAAATCAGAGTTGATGAAGGGCAAGGTCCGGGGAACAGAGGAAGACAGGAGGCAGGGGAGTCGGAATTTGGGGGCGGGGCCATAGGATTCTCCTCCAGGAATAGTCTGAGTGTTTTAGGTGCCAGCTTCTAAGCATTGTCTTCCGTCCTGGCTGTGGCCCTTCTGAGGCCACATACATGGGGTGTCTGTGCTTACAAGGGTACTCAAGCAGCAGTTCACAGGAAAGAAAAGTTTAACAGTAAATTGAGGGGAGGATGTGGCAGAAAAGTTAGGACAGCACCTGCCCCTGTATCCCATATTGCTCGGAATCAAGAGCTGACTCTACTTCCCAGCCAGCTTCCTGCCACTGCATACGTTTGGAGGCAACAAGCAATGGCATAAATGCATGGGTCCCTGCTACCCCATGAGATCCAGGTACACTTCCTGGCTCCTGGTTTCAGCCCTGATGACTGTGGGCAAGGGAGAGCCAGAGCTCCCATCCTCTGCCCACAGCCAGATGCCCAAAGCAGCTGGAGTTGGGGGCTGAGACCAAACCCGGACCCTCCAAAGTGTAACAGAGACATCCTAAAACCAACTTAGTAGCCATGAGGCCAAATGCCCATTCCACAGACAAAACAGACCCTTGTGTTGACTGTGGGTATGTATATGTAAGAATTATTATGGGGATTGGCGTGGTGATACAGCTGCTGCCTGTGGCACTGGTATCTCATGTAGGATACAGTTCAAGTCCCAGGCACTCCACTTTGGATTCTACCCCGTACTAATGTGTCTACAAAAGCAGTGGAAGATGGGCACAGTTGCTTGAGCCCCTGCATCCATATGGAAGACCCAGAAAAAGCTCCTGGCTCCTGAGTTCACACTGGCATAGTTCCAGCCATTGAGACCATCTGGAGAGTAAACTAGTCAATGGAATCTCTCTTTGTAGTGCTGCCTTTCAAAGAATTAATTAAGTGGCTAAAAAAGAGAGAGAACTATGTGACAGGGCTCTAAGTATATTGAAATATCAGCATCATTTGTTGCTCTTTTTTTGAAAATGAGGGATTATATCAAGACAAGAGAATTGCGGTGTTAAAGTGGCCTATCCACCATATTCTGGATGAGGGTGTTGTAGAGAATTCCTCTCCTGTGTAATCCAATCTCTCTCTATCTTCCTCTCTCTCTTTAATTTTTTATATTGATTACATGTTTGATCAGGGTGGGAAGGATCAAAGTTTAGGGAAAATTGGGTGAACTCATTGTTTCCAAATTTACTATTGCTTCTTGTTGTTTCTAGGGGAAGGGGAGAAACAAAGAGGGAAGCCACTCATGACTTTCCACACGTCCCAGTACCCAGGGATGAGGAAGCGCCACCTTGTATCAGCCCAGAGTCTCAATGCACACATATTCCGAGGGTTCTGTCCAAGTGATTTAGATAGTTCTGAAATGCTGTCACTCTCCCAGTGTCCATTGGCTGACATAGTAAGCCTCAAGCCTCCATTCACAGAGATTTTTTGCTGTTACCATTTGATTGGGGTAGTGGTCCAGTTTGTTCTGTTCTCCTTCTTCAAATAAACTGCCATGTTCTCCTTTTACATCAGGGCCTGTGTGCACTGCTCCGCCTTTTTCATTAAGTAAGGCATGTTTTTGCAGGTGAGCCCCAGAACCCGGGCTTGGTATCCCAAGCCTTGTCGGATTTCCCCACCCCTGAGGCTCATGAACCCAGCACCCACTTCACAGGCTGGCCCCAGGAACTGGGACAGGTGACCCAAGCCCCACCAGATTCCCCACCCCCGGGGTTCACAGACCCGGCACCCACCTCACATGCAGGCCCCAAGACCTGGCATAGGTGATCTGAGTCCCTCAGGATAATGCCAATCTCCAATGGAGGGTTTCCTCCAACGTTGCATTTCCTGTCCTAGTCAGACGTGAGCATCTAGTCCGTGCTGTTACTTGGAATCCTTCTATCTGTTCCAGTCTAGGCTTTCTGTTGGAGAATGAACACCCTTATATTTGCTACCCCTGGGTGTTCAGCATCACTTGCTAAAAACATTTGTAAGCAGAATCTACCTCCTGCCTGCCATCCTCCAGAACCTGTAACAAGACCGCTTTATGCTGAACTGGGTCAATTCTGCAAGTCCAATGGAAAGAATTCACTCAATCCATGTAAGCTGAGAGGGGAATTGCACCTGCACTGCATCCGAGGTGCTGATCATTTCACATTGAGCTTGGTCATGGACCACTGACCACTGTGGTTACCACGCAGGTCAGGCTTTCCCATGGGCTTGTCCAAATGTGAAGGCTTCTAGAAGTGAGAGGTGAAACAGCTCCTGTGAGCTAGTCCAGCTCCCAAATGAAGACTCGGGAGTTCATGTAAGCTCTGTTGCTAAGTCACAGATAGGGGCTTCATGGTAGGTGAGTGCGCTGACATAACTTCAGTGATGCACGGTGCTGTGTTTTAGGGGCATGTGCTGTGATGACTTGCCAGAGACCACACACAGCAAATATAAAGGACAGGACCAGAAACATCTTGGGCTGGTCGATGCTGCCAGTGACTTCAGATGTGGGACAAGTAAGGCCAAAACAGTGTGGCAACCTTTAGAATCAGAAAGAAGAGTCACAAAGAAGGATAGCTCTCCGGGTCTTTGGAAGAAGGACTCTGGGTGAACTGTCAGCACAGTAAAACGCTCTATGACCAATCAGGCAGCGGTCACTTCTACCAGATGGGTAGGTCAGCTGGGCCTGCTCCACTGGGCTCACCGGGGTGACCAGTACACTGGATGGACTTGGCTGATCTAGGTTGGCTGGTGTCTACACAAGGCTGCAGATCTGGGCCTATCTCTGGCCTGTGTGCCTGTCAGCTCCTTACAGAGTGAGCTGGCCCGTGCGTGCTCACCTGTGCTAGTGGCAGAGGCACAAGGGTAATTAGAAACAAGAAAGGCAAGCCACCTGTAGCCTAGACTTGGCTAGGAGTGCCATGCTGTCACTTCTGCTTCAGGCAATTTTTTAAAGATGTATTTATTTAATAAAGAGTTACAGAGAGTGGGAGAGACACAGAGAAGCGGGGAGAGAGAGAGAGAGAGAGAGAGAATCTTCCATCTGCTGGTTCACTCCCGGAAATTGGCCATTTAAGCCAGGGCTGAGCCAGGCCAAAGCAGGGTACCAATAGCTTCATCCAGGTCTTTCAAGTAAGTAGCAGAACCTGAACACTTGGAACATCTTTTGCGGATTTCCCAGATACACCAACCGGGAGCTGATGAGAAGTAGAGCATCTGGGATGTGAACCGGTGCCCGTATGGGATGTATTATCTCAGGTGGCAGCCTTACCCACTGCAACTCCTTGACCTTTTCTGCATGATTATTTCCCTAAGTGGCAATTTTCAGACGCATTTCCCTAGTTGCTTCCCCCTGAGAGTCTTGATTTTTTTTTTTTTTTGATCAAATCATTTTCTGGAGCTCAAGCACACATAACAAAAAGGACTCCTTTAAAACAGTTTTGTGGCATCAGTTGCACTTACACTGGGCTGTAGAAGTTGGCACGGTCCATCTGCTCGTCTTCTCAACCTGAAACTACACTGTGAAGCAATAACTCTCCATGCCTTCCTCCCCCCAGCTCCTGGCACGTGCTGTCCTACTTTCTGTCTCTGTGAATCTGACTTCTCTAGGTATGTCCTGGAAGCGGAGTCCGTGACGCTGTTGCTTGTCTTGTGTCTGGCGTATTTGCACCAGCATGCTCTCCTCGGGTGCATGCATGTGGCGGTGTGTGTCAGCATCTCTTCCAAGCTGAGGGACCTCCTGCTGTGTGTTGGTGCCAAGCCTCATTTTTTCTCCACCTTTTCACGAGTGTGAACTGTGCGGTGTGAACATAGGCGTGCAAGTGGGTACATGCATTTCCAAGCCCTGTTTTCAGTTCTTCTGTGTGTGTCCCCAAAAGTAGAATTGCTGGCTCACATAGTAACTCTGTTGGGAAACCACACTGCCCTTTTTAAATACGTTCTGTCTAACCCAGTTCATCCAGAATATTATCATTTCAATATGTAATTAATTAATGAGAAAGAGTATTGAGATGGTTTACATCCATAATTTTCTATTTTGAAATTCAGTGAGTATACTTACAACACATCTCAATTCAGACTACCCGCATTTGGAGTGCTGGGTAGCTGCTTGTGACATGATTATAGATGGCGTTTTGTTTTGAACTCTGAGACACAGCCAAATGGCAGAGGGTCTCACGTTTCAATTTTGGGGGGCAGCTTTTCTGAGCTGTGGTTCCCACACTGTACAGCCCACTCATTTAGAGTGTGTGAGTTCAGTGGCTTTTAGGCTGTCCACCAACGTGTACAGCCATCGCCACGATTTTAGAGCATCTTCCCCACTGTAATGAGAAGCCACTGCTGCAGTAACCTCCAGTCTGCTGCAAGACTGTGGGTTCACCTTCTATGGATATCTCATGTCAGGGCTCTCAAAATGTGACCTTCTTCTGTGACTGGCTTCTGTCCCTTGGTCTGGTGTGTTTAAAGTTCATCCGTGGTGTAGTGTGCATCGGGGCTCCATTTGTTTATATGGCCAAATAACATTCCATGACATGGATATGGCATGTTTTACATTTATAGACATTGGGACTATGTCTGCTTTTTGGTGATCGCAAGTGCTGCTGTCGGCAGTCCCATGCAAGGCCTGGTGTGAGCAAACATTTTCCATTTCCCTTGGGCGGATCCCCGAGAGTGGCATGTGCTGGGGTCATTGGCGACTCTATGTTTAACCCTTGGAGGACCTGGCTCTTTTCCAGAGTGGCTTCACTATGGGGTGTTCCTCCCAGCAGTGACCAAGGATCCCAGTTTCTCTATTGCTTGCCAACATTGTTACTGTCTTTTTCTTAGAGGGCTGCCAATTATTGTAGTATCTAAGTTTTCTCATACACACACCCCCAAGATCAAGTGTTTAAGCCCTTGGGTATCACTGACAGTGTATGTGTCAACCCAGTGACAGCCAGCCTCTCGGGGCGGGACCGTAGCAGCTCTTCGCCTGCATAGTGGAACACGCAGCAGGGCAGGAGGATAAGCAAGTAGAAGAATGGAGGTGGAGGAACTGCCATGGCATGGGGCCCGCTCTCACGTGGCAGCCACCACCTAGCCCAGAGCTCAGCACCACCATGTCCTGGCTTCCCAGTAGAGCAGCTGCTCTCCTGACCTTGCAGATCCTGGATGAGGTGGAGAAGCGACGTGGCATCTCCCCTGCCCTGGTGCAGCCTCTCATGAGGAGCGTCATGGAAGCACCCTTCCCGGCCCTGGGCAAGACCATCGTTGTGAAGAACTTCCTGCCAGGCTCTGGGACTGAGGTAAGCCTGGCCAGGGGAGGGAGTGGCCTTGGCAGCCCAGCCTCATTCAGTGGTGTCTCCTCCCGGCCTCAGGTCACCCCTCAAAAGTCGCATCCTGAGTGGGATGCATGCAGCTGGGACTCTGCCTAGAGAACAACCCCCTAGGAGCACACTGTGCAGCGTGTGGTGTTGGCAACCTGCGAAAAACATCCTGAGCTGTTCTGGATTTGGGGGATTTTTTTTTTTTTAAGATTTCTTTACTGGGTGCCAGAGCAATGGCTCAATGGCTAAATCCTCATTTTGTAAGTGCCAGATACATTTTGCAAGTTCCATGCAGGTGCCGGTTTGTGTCCCAGCTGCTCCTCTTTTAAACCATCTCAATGCTTGTGGCCTGCAAAGGAGAGTAGAGAAAAGCCCAAAAGCTTGGGACCCTGCACCCTCACGGGAGAGCCGGAAAAGGCTCCGAGTTTCTGGCTTGAGATTGGCTCAGCTTCGGCCATTGCGGCTACTTGAGGAGTGAACCAGGGGAAGGAAGATCTTTCTCTCTGTCTGTCTTCTCTGTAAATCTTCCTTTTCAGTAAAATCTGCCTTTAAAAAAATATTTATTTATTTATGTGAAAGGTATAAAAGATTTATTTATTTATTTATTTATTTGAAAAGTATAGTGACGGAGATAAGGAGAGGCAGAGAACGAAAGAGTGTTTCCATCTGCTGGTTCATTCCCAATTGACTGCAGCAACTAGGGGTTGGGAATGGGGCTGGACCAGAAGAGAGCCAGGACCTCCATCAGGGTCTCCCACGGAGGCCCAAGCACTGGAGCCATCATCTGCTTCCCAGGTGTTTTTAGCAGGGTCCTGGATTGGAAGTGGAGCAGCCAGGACTTGAATCAGCGCCAATATGGGATGGTGGCCTTGCCAGCGGTGGCTTTATCTTCTGTGCTGCTCTGTGGAAGGCCTAAGCTTCCAAGGCAGCAGGGAAGGTTCCTCCTACAGAGGTGGCGAAGCCTGAAGGCCATATACCCTGCAAAATCATTTGATCTGACCCTGCCAAGACAACTATAGGTGGGACTCAAAATCTAATAAATCTATGGCGGGTCAGTTTTTGTTTAAAGATTTGTTTTTTATTTTTATTGGAAAGTCAGATCTACAGAGAGAAGGAGAGACAGAGAGGAAGATCTTCTATCCAGTGGTTCACCCCTCAAGTGACCATAACGGCTGGAGCTGAGCCAATCTAAAGCCAGGAGCTGGGAACTCCTTCCTGGTCTCCCAAAGCTTTGGGTTATCCTCGACAGCTTTCCCAGGCCACAAGCAGGGAGATTGAAGGGAAGTGGAGCAGCTGGGATGTGAACCGGCACCCATATGGGATCTCAGCAGATGCAAGGTAAGGATTTAGCCACTGAGCCACTGTGCTGCACCCAGGCCAGTTTTTAAGTTTGTAGTTTGTAGTGGCTGGTGAATGATGTCAGAACTGTCCAAATGAAAACAAACAAACAAACAGAACTCTCCAAATGTCCAGGGCCAGTGCCGTGACCTAACAAGCCTCAGCCTGTGGTGCCAGCATCCCATATGGTCACCAGTTCTAATCCTAGCTACTCCACTTATTTATTTAGCTCCCTGTTAGTGTTTCTGGGAAAGCAGTAGAAAATGGCCCAGGTGCTTGGGTTCCTGCACTCACACAGGAGACTCAGAGGAAGCTCCATGCTCTGGATTGACTGCTTGCAGCCATTTGTGGAATGAGCCAGCAGTTAGAAGACACCTATCTCTCTCTCTCTCTCTCTCTCTCTGAAACTGCCTTTCAAATCACACTAAGAAAAGAAAAGAAAAAGAGCCAGGTGGCCTTGGCAGAAATAGTCTTCCCCATGGAATTTTCTGGGAGGGATCCCACACATACACCTAGGCCTCAGAGAACCTTCTGGCTGCTTTGCACCAGTGGCCACGGGCTGTCCTCCTGTGTCACCCACAGCACCCACCCCCTGCAACCCCACCCCAGGCTGTGTTCAGTCTGGTAGTTCAGTGGGAGGCACTTTACCTGCTTGCCCAACGTGCCTCCTTCCCAAGCCTCCTGGGATGTTCTCCCCAATGCCTTCCATTTCCTGGGTTTTGCCTTTCCCCTTGCCAGCGGGAGCCCCTGCCGAGGACCTCAGCGCCCGCCCTTTCTCATGGCTGTCCCCATTGCCCGGTAGGTGATTGAGCTGTGCCGCCCACTAGACTCCCGGCTAGAGCACGTAGATTTTGAATGTCTCTTCGCATCCCTCAGCGTCCGCCACCTGGTCTGTGTGTTTGCCTCCATGCTCCTGGAGAGGAGAGTCATCTTCATTGCCGACAAGCTCAGGTACCAACCTCGGCCGCGGGATGGTTGTTCGGTCTAGGGCAGGTGTGTGCTTGAGTCAAGGCCAGGTGCTAGCTAAGGGGTGAGAGAGAATCGGAATCAGAGTGTGGCTCAGGCCAGGGAAGCTGTGGGCATTGGTGCTGGGCCGTCCTGCTCTGCTGCCTGGCACCTGACCTGGGAAATGCACCTGTCTTCAGAGGAGGAAACAGACATCAGCAGGCCGGGTGGCACCCCATTGTTTGAGGCAACATGTTTTGGAGACCACCGGAAGGTGCACTTTCCCTGAGGAGGCCCGTGCTGATCTAGTGCTGGGACTGAGAGCAAATAGAAGGCACTCTCTAGGTGCCAGGAGCCGAGGAACCTGGAAAGGACCGGGGCGACCTGGGACCAGCAGAAGGGCCCAGTTCAGGAAGAGCGCAGGGTCATGGGCGAGAGTGCAGACCTGTCCTAGCGGCTTCCTCCTCTGCATATAGACCTGCCCGGAAGGATGCTACCCACATCCCACTGGTCTCACTTAGTGATCTGCAAACACCTTGTCAGAAATCAGAAAAGACTCAGAGGAGATGCCAGAAGGATCTGGGTAAAATTCTAAGCTCCTTAAGAAAAAAAAAATTACAAAAAAAGGATTCTCTACATTATTTCAAAACACTGACTCAGGACTACCTGCATTTGAACCTGAGGGCCCAGATGTGGGAGTGGTGTGGGAGGGACAGGGGTGCGGGGCCAGCCAGCAGCAACGATGGAGGCTGTCTGCAGAGCTCAGATAGCAGGAGGAAATGCCCAAAACAGAGAAGCCAGAGAGTGTGGTCTGGCGGGGAGGGAAGTAGGTCGGGAACCGTGGGAACAGAAGGAGGCAGAGAAAAGGACAACGTGTACCCACATGGAGTCCAGTGCGAGATGTGGTGGGGATCCAAGCCCTCATCTCAGCCCGCTCCCTGCTCTCTCACCCCAGGCCCTGAACCCTGGGAACTCAGAAACCAGTGTGCCGGGCTCGTGCAAACTGAGGACGAGTGACAGCCGCTCAGTCCATGGCCTGGGTTTCATCATTCCTGCAGTAACGCTCTCTAATCCCCCGCAGGCCTAGGCAGTCCCCACGCCAGCACTTGCACCTGGGGGACAAGCAAACAACGCTGGAGGGAAAGGCCCAGGAGAGAGATGGCAGCCAGACGGGCCTACCCTGATGCCCACCCCAGGATAAAGATGTCAGACTTGCAGTGGGCCCAGCCAGAGAAAATGCCTAGGAAATGAAGTTGGGTGTGGCCAAGGAGGAGGGCTTATCGGGGGGAGGGCACCACCAGTTTTTGAGTTAATACACAGCGAAAGCTCAAGTTGGCACCAAGAGGGAGAGTATAGCTTGTCAGAAACAGTGGCCCCTCGCGGAGGAAGGTAACAAAAGGCCCAGGGACTCAAGGAGCCTGAGGATGCTCACTGCTCAGGTGTCTGGGAGGGCACGTGATCACCTCGCCTTGGACCAATTTCTGGATTAGCAGGTCGGACCCTGGCTCGGTTCCTTGGGCAGAGTGCAGCAGTCCTGGGGGACAGAAGGGAACCCCTGTAGGGAGCAGCTGGGCTGTGGTTGGATTCGCCCACCTGGGGTAGCTTCACAGAATAGACGAGTCATCTGCTCATGTGGTCTGCTTGGCAGCATACTGAATTCGGCCCCTCTTCTACGTCCATGGTGCCTGGCACTGTGCCCTTGGAGATACCGTGTTTTTGGAGGCCCCTGGCAGGGGTCAGCCTGAAGCGTGTTCTCGCCGTGGGCACAAGATGCCCCTCAGTTTTTTGGCGGCACTTGCCACTAGGGAGATGGGCTTTGGTGGGGCAGCAGGGGTGTGAGTGATTCTGGTCTGCTCCTTAGTGCCAGAGCCCAGCCACAATGTGTGTGTGTGTGTGTGTGTGTATGTGTGTGTCCATATGTCTAAAACACCTTAGTTGCATTGTCAGACCCTCTGTGCGTGCACTTTCCCCTGCTCAGCACACGGAGGTCTTCCGCAATGGCGAGGATCCCTGGGCATCCTTAGTCATTGGGCCTCATGACACACAGGGGCTTGTCTGCACCCATTCCCCCTTGTGATTTTCACCTTCATTTGTAGGAGTCTGGCTTGCTTACTTTCTACTTTCTATTTTTGTTGTTGTTGTTGTTGTTGTTGACAGACCACTGGCTTTCTTTCTTTCTTTTTTTTTTTTTTAGGTTTATTGTTTTTATTGGAAAGGCGGATATACAGAGAGCAGGAGAGACAGAAAGGAAGATCTCCCGTCCGATGATTCACTCCCCAAGTGGCTGCAATGGCTGGATCTGAGCCAATCCAAAGCCAGGAGCCAGGAATCTTCCAGGTCTCCCACACGGGTGCAGGGTCCCAAGGCTTTCCCAGGCCACAGGCAAGAGCTGGATGGGAAGCGGGGCCCCCGGAATTAGAACCGGTGCCCATATGGGATCCCAGCGCGTTCAAGGCGAGGACTTTAACCACTACACTATTGCACCGGGCCCTACTTTCTATTTTTAAAACCATGTATTTATTTGAAAGGCAGAATTACTGAGAGACAGAGATCTTCCATCTGCTGGTTCATTCCCCAAATGACTGTAACAGTCAGGGCTGGACCAGTCTCAGAGCTCCAAGAAGTGGCCAGTGGAAAGCTTGCCTCTCTCCACAGCAGATGGCAGAAGGAGTTGGGGCCAGGCCAGCATGGTCAGCAAAGCCGGCGGAGAGCAAAGTCCAGGACCCTGGATGTCCACACAAGTAGCACTGAAGTCCTTAAGACGGGCCTGATTTGGCAGCCAGGTCACAGTTGCCACTGGGAAGCCAGTGCCTTTTTCTGCAGGGCCCCAGTGAGGCAGCCCAGTGGGGTGACCCCAAGTGTTTCCTCCCAGCTTTGAGATTCCCTGGCCCAGGATCTCCATGTCCCATTCATGGGAAAGTAGCCATGGGAACAGAGGGCTCTCTGGGCAGGTCATGACGCACAAGGGTATGGGGAAGTTGCCTGACCTAGTCATTTCTGGGAGGAAAATCAGCTGACGCTGTCACTCTCAGGGCCCCAGACACTACACAGTACCCCAGTGGTGAGCCCTGCTCTGCTACCTCCCCTGGCCCCAATCACAGGGAAGCCACCCAACGAAGCATGAGAATAGGACGTGGCCCGTGACAGTCACCTGCCCGAGGTCCACAGTCACCACCCCCAGCGCTCTCCCACCAACACAATGTATTTGCCCATCCCTGCTAGTGGCCTGCCCACTTCAAAAAGAAATGTTGGGGAGTTGTGGCAAACACTGTATGAATTATAAAAGGATTTTTAAAGTTGAGCCAAAAACCTATCACATTTAGAATAACAGTTTTGTTCCGTTTCATCTTTAGAGTGGACTCTGAGTGTTTCTAAAAGGCCTTTAGCTTGACGGATGGGAAAGAAAGAATGTTGTTGCAAGGGTTTGTTCTGTTGCCATGACAACCCAGGCAAATATTTTCCTATACCCCTGCCTTCATTTTCCCGCTGGTAAACATTTTGTTTGTCAGTTTATTCATTGCAGTTCCCCAAGGTTTTGGCTAAACCTACAGACCAGGCTGATCAGCACAAAAATTTTTGTACAGAAGTTTTAGCTAGGACAAAGGTTTTAATATTTGAGAAGCTAACTCTTTTTTTGTGATGCATTAAGCTGAAAGCCGAGCAATAAACCAGTGGTAAGTGGTAACGTTAGATGGCTGGCTCTTGCTGACACTGGCATCTGAGCCCTGACTGGCACATTGGTGTCTACACAGACATGTTCGCTTGTGCCCTGCACGTGCCTCCTTTGGTAGTGGCAGTGGGGAGGGGGTGGTTCTAAGGTTTTATTTATTTACTCATTTATTTTAAATACAGAGCTAGAAAGAGAGAGAGAGAGCAAGAGACAAGAGCCAGAGAGCTTTTCCATCTGGTGATTCACTCCCCAAATGGCCACCACAGCAAGGCCTGAGCCAGCCTGAAACTAGCACCCAGTACCTCCATCCAGGTCTGCCATGTGGATGGCAGAAACCCCACTGCTGGGGTCATCGTCTGCTACCTTCCCAGGCGTAAGAGCAGAAAGCTGGATTAGAAGCCAAGCCACAAGGACTCAAGCCGGCACTGTAGTGTGAGATGCTGGTGTCACAAGCAGGAGCTGCAGCTGGCCTCCATTGTGGGTTAATCAGGGTCTGTAAGCTGCACGGAGGGTCCCATAGCCTCTCTAGACTCAGCTGTGCTCAGCATGTGTGCTCCCCCAGAAGGTGCGGGGCTCGGGAGCACACTTCTAGACAGGTGCAGTTGCTCAAAGCTTGCTGGCAAGTTGTTCACAGCAGCCAGCATGGTGCTCTTGCATCCAGAGACACTGCAGAGGCCTGGCTGATTTTTGGAGTGGTTGAAGTAAGCATATTGCATTGAGGCAAATCCCATGAAAATGTTATTTTAATAGCATAAGAGTAAATTCTGATTAACCACCAAGAAGATGCCATTTGGAGAAAGATTTAGAGGATAGCGTGGCCTTGAACTCCATCGTTCTCGGATCCAAACCCATCACTCAGAAGTTCTGGGGCTGGAAAGATGTCCCAGCTCTGATCTTGCACTCAGCTCCCTCCCAGGGCACAGTGGCTCCTTGGTGGGGTCTTCCCCTTCTGGACTCAGCACAGTGGCTCAAAAACCCTGAGGCCTGGCTCTCGATCAGCTCCTCAGAATAACAGGTGACCCCTTGCCCTTCTGTCCAACAAGCCTCCAGGGACCTTCCTGTGACACCCTGGGCTCAATTTGTGGCCTCAACAGACAGCTCCTATTTCCAGCATTTGCTAGCATTTTCCTAACATTTTCTCTCCCTCTGTCTTTTATGAGATTCAGAGTTTGCAAATGTTCGAGCTGGAAGGGTGTTCAAGGGTTTTCTCTACGAATCCAAGGCCTGAAGAAGGGGGAGGGCTTTAGCTAAAACAACAGATAGCAGAGCGGGTTTTCCTGGGATTCCCGCTGTGTGCGCCTTAAGCTGCTACACGCTGCCTGTGGGTGACACCCGCCTCCCCATGTGGTTTCCACGTTCACCAGCCTGGACCTGGGTTTCCGTCACACTCCCATCCCTGGAGCTGACCTCCGTAAGGGGCGTGCTCTGTTCAGATGCTGCATGAGCATACTTGAACCATGCTTTCCAGCGTTCAGGTGTTGGTGTAAGTTGGAGAGCTTGTTCATCCGGTAGCATTCTAGATGAAGCTCGGGGCCACGTTCTGACTGCCAAGTGGTGGGCTGACGCCTGTTGGGCGTAGAAAGCCCAAGTGTGGCATAGGGGCTTGGCAGCAAGCGGGACCGAGGCTGCTTCTCCAGGTGAGCTGCAGCATTCCCAGCTGTGCCCTGAGCTGGAGTAATGCTTCAGCCCTCAGGAATGTTCTAGAACCTGACCCTTCTTCCCTAGTCTCCTAATCCTCATCTCACTCTGTAGGCCCACAGGAGTCAGGGCTAGACCAAAGCCAGGAACCCGGAACTCCATCCTGTTTTCTCACAAGGGCAGCAGGAATTCGACTACTGAAGGCAGCACCTGCTGCCTCCTGGGTTCTGCATTGGCAGGAAGCAGGAATGAGGGGGCCCGAGATGGGAATTGAATGTGGGGTTGTCTTAACTGCTGGGCTGAATGTCTGCCCCTGTGTGCCCACCTTTGAACCCTGTGGCCCAGCCAGCCTCGCCTTGATGCATGCTCTTCCCGTCCCTGTTTGGACAATTGATCACAGCTGCGGGAGCCTGGGGTTCTTCCCTCCACCCCCACTGTAATGCGAGCCAGCTGCCAGGGCTCTTGTTCAAACTGCCTTGAAACACTTCAGCCCCTTCTGCAACCAAGCCAGCCCACAATGAGGCGCTGGCAGGTTTTGCTTGGAGGGTCGTCCTGTGTATGCCCAGACCCTTGACCTGCCCTTTGCGTATTGCTGCGAGACCACCAACTCTAGCAAGTGCACGCTGGAACCAGCATTTGCAGCACTGGCTGAGGAACAACATTCCAAAGAATCCTTTCTTTTCTATAGCATGTTTTGGAGAAGAGCTGCCACCAGCTATTCTTTGCAGAGCTTGACCTTTCCTTTTGGTGTTTGACAAGGCAAGATTTTTTTTTTTTTAAATCATAATGTGGGCTGGAGAGCAAGAGGAATGAGAAACTCCACAGATAGCTGCCAGCATGCTGTCCTTGAGTGCGTACCCCAGACACCATATGTTGCAGCTAACAAGGTGTTAATCATAACCAGGTGTGGGAACCTTTGCTAAAGCTACAAAAAGATCTGATTACTTCTTTAAAAAAAAAAAAAAGTTGTTTAAAGAAATAATGCCGGGCCCCGTGCGATGGCGCAGTGGTTAAGGTCCTCGCCTTGCACACCCAGGATCCCATATGGGCACTGGTTCTAATCCCGGCAGCCCCGCTTCCCATCCAGCTCCCTGCCTGTGGCCCGGGAAAGCAGTCGAGGACGGCCCAAAGCTTTGGGACCCTGCACCCGTGTAGAATACCCAGAAGAGGCTCCTGGTTTCTGATTGGCTCAGCTCCAGCTGTTGCGGTCGCCTGGGGAGTGAATTATCGGACGGAAGATCTTCCTCTCTGTCTCTCCTCTTTGTATATCTGCCTTTCCAATAAAATTAAAATTAATCTTTAAAAAAAAAAGAAATAATGCCATCACCCGCCTCCATGGCCAACAGTTTACCAGTTGAGTTGTCATCTTTGTCCCTGTTTTCTGAACTGATCTTAGTGACAGGCATTCAGCCTAGGTACTTGGGGTACTTGGGGTTGCCACCTGCCTCTGACTCCTGGTTCCATCCTGCTGCTGCTGAAGGCCTGTGAGAGAGCAGTGATGGCTGAGGCTGTCACTTGGAGGGCCTGTATTGAGTTCCTGGGCTCATCAGGGCCATTTGGTCATTTGGAGAATGAATCAGCAGATGGGAATGGCTCTGTCTGTCTTTGCCTCTTACAATAATTCCTCTAGGGAGGAATTGTCATAGAACCCCTAAAATTGGATCTATTTTCTGGAAATGCAGCAAGCCGATTACTGACCACAAGGTATGGGAGAAAGTAGGAATTTTTGTCAATGTTTATTTTGTTTTGTTATTTGTTTGTTTTTTTCTTGTTTGAAAGGCAAGTGTAAGAGCCTCCATGCATAAGTTCGTTTCCCAGATGGCCACAATAGCCAGGAGCCAGGTCTCTCATGGGAGTGGCCAGAATCCATCCAAGCATTTGGGCCATCTTCCATTGCCTTCCCAGGCACATCAGCAGGGAGCTGAATCTGAAGCACAGTGTCCCAGACACCAGCCAAAGGTCTGATACAGGATGCTGGCATAGCAGGTAGCTGTTCAGCTCGTGCACTACAGCCCCTGCCTCCAGAAGGTGGGAATGTGTTTGAAATGTGCAGGGCAGGGCCCGGCATGGTAGCCTAGTGGCTAAAATCCTCACTTTGCCTGCGCAGGGATCCCATATGGATGCCGGTTTGTGTCCTGGCAACCCCATCCACTTCCCATCCAGCTCCCTGCCTGTGGCCTGGGAAGGCAGTAGAGGACAGCCCAAAGCCTTGAGACCCTGCAGCTGCTCAGGAGACCTGAAAGAAGCTCCTGGCTCCTGGCTTCAGATCGGCTCAGGTTTGGCCATTGTGGCCTTACAGGGAGTGAACCAGCAGATGGAAGATCTTTCTCTCTTCCTCTCCTCTCTCAATAAATCTTAAAAAAAAAAAAAAAAAAGAAGAAGAAGAAAGAAAGAAAGAAAGAAATATGCAGGGCAAAAAATCATCAGGACTCTGTGGGTGTGGGTCCACATCCTGGATTCCTCCCAAGGATACGGGCAGTGAATCTTACAGGCAAAAGTGGCAGCTGTGCAGTCCATGACCAGCTTGTGTGCAGGCCTCTGGGTGGTCCATGGCGCCTTCCTTGTGTTGGTCAGCCACAGGAAGCTGGCATGTTCTTCTGAAGGCATGATGAGAGCAAAGTGAGCTCTGGCCAAGTAGGGGTCTGTGGTTACATTGCTCATCAGGACTTGAATTTCTTGCCAAAAAATAAATAAATAAATAAATCTTAAAATAGAGTCTCCCAGGGGAAAGTTCGCCAAATAGAAATGATCATTGAATTCTGCATCTGGCATTTAGGAATCCTAGAGAGCAAGTCTGAAGCTTGTACAACTTCCTTGGAGTTAATCTTGAATAAGGCTTGGAACCTCCGGGGTGAAGATGAACGGCAAGCTAAGGGAGACTGACTCCTGCTAGCGTCTACGTCAAAGGCACTATGGGAGCTGATGCTCTGTTTACCCTGGTGAAGTTGTCACCAGTGCAGCTTTGAGTCCCAGCTGCTTCAGACTGGCTCAGCTCCAGCCATTGCGGTCACTTGGGGAGTGAACCATCTGACGGAAGATTTTCCTGTCTCTCCTCCTCCCTGTAAATCCACCTTTCCAATAAAAATAAAATAAATCTTTAAAAAAAAAAGAAAAGAAAAGGACATACAAATCAGTAGAGCCACAGTCTGTGATGTTGGGGTGGGGAGGGCAGTATTGATGCTGAGCCTGAAGCGGGAGGCTGGGGAGAGTTTGATACTGAGCCCAGGGTCGGGGGTGATGGTGATGTTGAGCTGGCAGGGGTAGGTGTGGTGATGCCGAGCCCCGGGGGGGAGGGGGTGATGGTGATTTTGACCCACGCAGCGGGGGTGGGGAGTGATGCTGAGGCCAGGAGGGCCCATCTCCTGCCCTTTGCTGAACTGGCCTCTCTCCCTGGCTGCAGCACCCTGTCCAAGTGCTGCCACGCCATGGTGGCGCTCATCTACCCCTTCAGCTGGCAGCACACCTACATCCCGGTGCTGCCGCCTGCCATGATCGACATCGTGTGCTCACCCACCCCTTTCCTCATCGGGCTGCTGTCAAGCTCGCTGCCGCTGCTCCGGGAACTGCCACTGGAAGAGGTGAGCTCCCTGCGGGCCCAGCCCAGCCCCTGGCATTCCTCACGGAGGGCACGGGATGTGGAGAGCAGGGGAATGCCAAGCTTCCCATCTCACCTTCTGAGTGAAGTCACTCGTGGACTCAGTGCCTAGGAAGACCTCCAGCTGGCTGCCAGCTGAGCCCGTGTCCGACTCTGAAACAGCCATCACCCCAGACCTCCCTTCCCTCCCCCCATCCAGCAGGATCACGGAGGTTCAGCCCTAACAACAAGGGGGACAAGGCCTGTGGGACAAGGCCTGGTCCCTGGAATAGGCCCTTTCCTTAGCCAAACTGGTTTTCATGAACAAGGCCTGGGCCAATCAGCAGGAAGAGCTTATGGGCATCTCTCTGACCCCAGTGCCTTCCTCGGAACGCCCGCCTGTCTGCTAGGATTAACAGATGCTTGGCCGTCTGCCCCCAGTGCCCTTGCCCCGGCTCTTCCACTGCTCCTCTCATTGCCCTGAGACCTAAAGTCCCTCCAGTGTGGACTGCAACATGCAGGCCTCCGCTCGCAGGTCTACAGACTGCAAGGGGCTTATGGGGGCCCTGGGATCCGTGCAGTGGCTCAGGTCCCCCCAGCCACCCACCCAACCCAGGCCCGGGGGGCCGCCCACCAGGTTCCTGGGCAGGGACTCTGGGATGTGTTTTCCAGCTGTGGTCAGGGGTCTCCAAGGCCCTTCCTCCAGCATAGCCAGTGGCCCAGGCTGGGGTTTCAGCATCAAGGGTAGCATTTGTGAGAGTGGGCAGCTGAGCACCTCCACTGCCATACTGTGCCTTAGCCTCGGGGAACAGGGCAGGGAGTCCCGCAAGCTGCCAGGTGACCGGGCCAATGCTGGAAGGCATTCAGGAAGGCCCTCCCCACTCCCTACCCCCAATCCCAGGAAGCCGTAAGTGCTGCACTCTGCCCATCCCAGCTGTCCCTCAGTGCCACCAAGGGAAAGGCTCTGAGCCCATCTGGTGTGCACAAAGCCCCGGTGGCACTAACAGCCCTGTCTGCTGTGTCTTCTAGGTCCTTGTGGTTGACCTTGTCAACAGCCGGTTCCTCAGACAGGTGAGTGGGCGCCCTCCCGCAGCTGTGGCCACACCCTCTCTGTTCATCCTCTTATCCCAGGGGTCTAGCCCTGAGCTCTGAAAAAGCAGGGCAGTGCCAGGCGGCTGGACCCCAGGCTCAGGGCACAAGACTGACTGCCCCACCTTCCAACCCTAAACAGCATCTTCCAACAGTTCGAGTCTTGGTATAAATTATACTTCATCTTTTTAAATCTATGTTTGAAGAACATTTCATAATAAAGTTCTCAATAGGATTGGTGAATGGGGGAGAATTTGGGACATAACATTGCAAACATTATTTTGCTGTTCTTAGGAGAAGAGAAGGAGAAAGGGGTATGTATATGTGTGTGTGTGTGCGTGTGCAAGAAGGATTGAAAGGACCCCACTAAAACCTTATTGCTGGTTGTCTTGGGGAACTAGGTTAACAGGAAGGCAGAAGATGAGGGCTTCCTGATTTTTTTTTTTTTTTGGGCTTCCTGATTTTTAAATACTTCTCAGGTAGCTTCCATAATGAGCAGGAATTACTTTCATTGTCAGAGCAAATAGCACACGTGTGTTTCCCTGTTGGCATTTTCCAGAGAGTTCTAGTTCCTATCAAGTCATGCAAAGGACAGCCAAGGATGACTTCCTGGACACTCGATGGATGGCTTCTACACGTGACCTTGTCACGTTGCTCAGAAGCTTTAGAGTATTCATGAAGTTGTTCTTGTCATTCGTTCTACTTTCCTTTCCCAAAAGTCCTCAGGTGGGCTCTTCCCAGGGTTCGCCTGCTCTGAACCCCAGCTCATAAAGCCAGCTTGGAATCACATCAGTCATCAATCCCAGCCAGAGACCCTCAAATAACACCGGCTACCTTGCAGAGGGAAACCTGCATTGAGAATCGGCCTGTATTTAATCTTTACCGTGAGGGGCTGGCACTGTGGTACAGCAGGTAAAACTACTGCCTGCAGTATCAGCATCCCACAGGGGCACAGGCTGCTCCGCTTCTGATCCAACTGCCTGCTAATGGCCTGGGAAAAGCAGTGAGGATGGCTCAGGAGTTTGCACACCTGCTCCCGGCATGGGAGATCCAGAGGAAGCTCCGGGCTTTGGACTAGCCCAGGATCGGTTATGATAGCCATCTGAGAAACAAACCAGCTAATAGAAGATCTCTCTCTCTTTCAAAATTGGTAAACATTCTTTAAAAAGAAAAAAAAGTCTTCACAAAGAAAAAATCTTTATAGTGAGGTATTGATCAAAACCCACTTTTAAATGTATTGGGTAATTTATTTGAAAGACAGAGAGAGGGAAAGATCTGCCATGCTATTCATTGCTGTAACTGGCTGAAACAGCCAGGACTGGGCCAGGCCAAAGCCGGGAGTCAGAAACCCCATCTGGACTTCCCAGGCAGGTGGCCAGAAGCTCACAGACTTACCTGGGCCACGGTGTGCCCCTTCTCAGGAGAACTAGCAGGAAGCCAGGCCAGAATTGCAGAGCAGGGACTTGAGCCAGCACAGCAGTGTGGCATACAGATGTTGCAAGCAATAGCCTGGCCTGCTGCACCACAGTGCCATCTCAGTAACCAGGGTGTTTTGTTTGTTTATTTGTTTTTAGATTTATTTGTTTTTATTGGAAAGGCAGATATACAGAGAGGAGGAGAGACAGAAAGAAAGATCTTCTGTCCAATGATTCACTTCCCAAGCAGATGCAATGGCTGGAGCTGAGCCACTCAAGCCAGGAGCCAGGAGCCAGGAGCTTCTTCCGGGTCTCCCACACTGGTGCAGGGTCCCAAAGTAGTAGGCTGTCCTCGACTGCTTTCCGAGGCCACAAGCAGGGAGCTGGATGGGAAGTGGGGCTGCCAGGATTAGACCCAGTGCCCATATGGGATCCCCAGGCATTCAAGGCCAGGACGTTAACTGCTATGCTATCTCACCAGGCTCAGTAGCCAGTTTTAAAAGTACGGAAAGCAGAGTGGACATCTGGAGTAATGGTTAAGATGTTTGGGTCCGGCGTGATAGCAGCAGAAGATGGTCCAAAGACATTACCTGGGAGGCTCCCATCTCATCACAGTGCCTGGCTGTGAGTCCCAGCTGTGGCCTGTGTGTACCCGGAGAGGCAGCAGGTGATGGCTCAAGTACTTGGGCCCTCCCCTGCAGCAGGTCCATGGGCTGTGTGGGAGGCCTGGGTTCAGTTCCTGGCTCCTGACTTCAACCTGGCTCATTTAAGGGCTAGACCAGCGGATGGAAGGTGTGTGTGTGTGTGTGTGTGTGTGTGTGTGTGTGTGTGTGTGTGTGTGCATGCACTTCTACCTCTCAAATAGTTTTTTTTTTTTAAGATAAGTAAGTAAATTAAATGAGCAAACAGTCCCACACAGATTATTTGAAACAAAATTCAAACCTCAGACCCCTGGCTCTTAAGTTCCTACCAACCTGGGAACTGAGCCAGGCCTGCCCCAAAGTGTGTCCAGGGCATCCTGCTGATCGCCATGCCCAGGGGCACTGGCCTGAGGACCGCCTGCTTCGTCTGCCTTGCAGATGGATGACGAGGAATCCATCCTGCCCCGGAAGCTGCAGGTGGCCCTAGAACACATTCTGGAACAGAGAAACGACCTGGCTGGTGAGCAGGATGAGGGGTCTCCAGACAGCAAGCATGGTAAGTGCTCAGCCACCTCTGAAATGCACCTGCTCTCTTCCTCTGTTAGGGTCAGGGGTCATGTGGACAACGGCCTTCTGCTCCTGTTGGCCAAATGGAAAAAACGGGATAGCCAGGCGCCAGGAGAAAAATGGGCCTCAGCCTCTGTCTCTGCTTTTCCTTCTGCCAGTGAGTTGGAGAAAAAATGCTCCACTACCCTACTTAAACCTTATAATGTCTGTGTCAAAGGCAAAAAGAGAGGCAGGCCCCGCGGCACAGCATGGCAAGCCACCGCCTAGGTCAACCTGTCCCGTGTCGGAGAGCTGGCTTGATCCCCAGCTGCTCTCCTTTCGGTCCAACAGACAATGGCTCACGTACTTCAGTTCCTGCCCCCCCCCGCGTAGAGACCTGGACTTGGCATCCTGGGTCCCCTAGCCCCAGCTTTGCCTTGGCCCAGCCCCAGCAACATAGCCATTTTGACAGTGAACCTGTGGCTGCAAGATTCTTTTTTTTCCTCTCTCTCCCTCTCCCCCCATCACCATCTATCACCGCTTTTTCCACTGCTTTTTTGTTCAAGCAGGTGTGGGGGAGCAATACCTAGGAACTTGGGAAAGCTGTAATCAATGAGATTGCTTACCGGGTGGCATACCCTAAAGGCCCTGCCCGCACCATCCCTGATCTTCCCCCACTCCCTGTCCTCTGGCTCAGGCCCCGACTCCAGCCCCTTGAATGAGGTGGTGTCCGAAGCCTTTGTGCGCTTCTTCGTGGAGATCGTGGGTCACTACTCCTTGTTCCTGACGCCGGGCGAGCGGGAGGAGAGGACGTTGCAGCGGGAGGCCTTCCGCAAAGCCGTCTCCTCCAAGAGCCTCCGCCGCTTCCTGGAAGTCTTCATGGAGACCCAGACCTTCCGCGGCTTCATCCAGGAGCGGGAGCTGCGCCGGCAGGACGCCAAGGGTGAGTGGTGATGCCCAGACTCCAGGAGGCTCAGTGGACAGGTGAACAGACGAGCGGCAAGGAAGGGCAGGGAAGGAGGCACAGGCAGGAACTGTGTCCTGGTCTGTTCCAGAGGGGCAAGTTCATGGCACAAGATCTTTCTCTCTCTCTCTTTTTCTCCATATAACTGCCTTACCAGTATAGATAAATAAAATGGGGGGAAAAAATGTTGTGCAGAAAGAGCCTGAAAGATCCCTCAGAAAAGAGGACGTTCAAGGCGGTGGTCCCGGGCAATGGGGGGACCCTCAAGGGTCTCCCTCCTGGAGCTCACAGCGGGGAGCCACCGGCGAGCTCAGGCCTCCCTTAGGGGAAATGCGAGGACATGGGGACTTCCCCACCGCCTCCTTCATCTTGGAAGCCATGTTCCTGGCAGTGTAAGCACTGGGAAGGTGCCCGTGGGAGAAGAGGGTTTTGTGACTGAGCTGTACAGCGTTCCCAAAGGCAGGTGTCACACTTTGCAAGGCAGTCTTCACTGCTCTACACACCCCACACTTCAGAGTGTGCCACTGCCTATGGGGGACGCATGGCGGCAGTGCAGAGAGGGGGGCCGGCACAGCTGCCATGTGTCTGTCTTGTCCACAGGTCTGTTCGAGGTCCGAGCCCAGGAGTACCTGGACACGCTGCCCAGCGGAGAGCACAGTGGCGTCAATAGATTCCTGAAGGGACTGGGTAAGGCCAGCACCTGGTGCCCATCACCCTAAGCTCCTGCCCTAACCTGTCCCAGCACGGAAACAGAACCCCCAGCCACTTCCTTCCTTCTTTCCACTACTCCCAAACTCCGGGGCAACCAAGCCTGCAAAGCACAGCTGGCCGCCAAAGGATGGGGCTAGGGGTCAGGATTAGGACTAGCCTCTGGGTTCCCCTGGAAAGCCGGGGGCTGTGGTTGAACCAGGAAACAGACCCCTAGTGGAAAAGGGAGGGTGAAGAAGACAGGAGAGGGGCCAGCATTGTGGCAAGGCAAGTTAAACCACCAAATACAACACTGGCATTCCATCAGGGCACTGGTTCAAGTTCCAGATGCTCCACTTTCGGTTCAGCTCTCTGCTAATGCTCCTGGAAAGGTAGAGGAGTCCAAGTCCTTGGGCCCCGGCACCCACGTGGGTGACCCAGGAGAAGCTCTGGGCTCCAGGCTTGGTCCTAGCTCAGCTCTGGCTGTGGCGGCCACTGGGGGAGTGAACCAGAGGATGGAAGAGCTGTCTTTCCCTCTGTCTCCATGGTAACTGTGTCTGCATCTTGTGTGGGATGCACAGCGTCTAGGAAGACACCAGGCTGCTGCAGCCTTCAGCCTCCCTGGTCCCTTAGGGGTAACAAACACTGTGGTCAGGGCTCTCCCAGTGGCCGCAGCGGCCACAGCTCTCTGTGGCTTTCACACCACTAGGCTGGAGGAATAACAGGGCAGTGTTTGGGGAACCCAGAGGAGGCAGAGCCCCACCCCCCCACCCCCAATTCTCCAGAGCAAGTTGTTGGACCGGGGGGGGGGGGGGGGGGGGGGGGGGGAGGAGGCACCATTATCCTCACCACGTCTGAGATGAGAAGGGCAAAATTTAATGCCCCCTTCTTTGCCTCACTTTCTCTTTTAGGCAATAAGATGAAGTTTCTGCACAAAAAGTAGCCCTCAACATGGCCTCAAGGAAAATTCTAGCAGGAATACAGGATGTGACAGGCGCCCCAGGTGCTGGGGTAAAGACCTGGAGATTGGGATGGGCTCCAGCCGCCCTGTCACGGGCTGTCCCCCGGGGCAGCCAGGCCTGGGAGCCACACGGATGCACTGCCCCTCCAAGACTGGCACTGGCGAAGGAGTGAGAACCAGGCATGGCAGCCACACAGCAGTAATTCACAGTGGTGCTTGGATTTGCAGTATTGGGTTTCATAATCTTGGGTATTAAAAAAAAAAGAAAAGGAAGATATTTGGGTTTTCTATTCATTATGCTGTGACTAAAACAAGGCTATCCTGTCCCCTATGCCAGCTTTCCCTGGTTCAGCCTGTCGTACCGTTATGGATCCCAGATGAGAGAGGGCCATGGGAGAGTGGCCAGGGAACAGGAGCCGAGAACGCCCTGTCAGACCTGGGCCAGTGTGGGTGGTGCTTGCAGATCTGGGGCACAGGTGCTCTTGGTAAGGGACAGACTGGAGGGAAGAATGCCAGCTGCCTCCCAGTAAGCTGCTCCTCCACACGGGTCTGTGACGCCACCTGGTGGCCGAGGCCCCTCCCTTCCCAAAGCAACGTGACTGTTGGATGGCCTTTTTTCTCCTTGCAGCCACAGAGACATCCATACCTGTGCAGCCCGTGGCTTTCAAAGGCACACAGGCCGGTCAGCTCTGTTTCCTAAGATGTTGTTTGAGCGTCTTCCTGAATTGGGCAGTACAGCATGGAACCCACTTCCTAACACACAGGCACTGCCTTAGGCACACTGGAGTGAAACAGCCTGCCACATTAGCCTCATTCTGGGCACCCAAATTGGCACCTCTGAAATAGTATTGGTGCAGGACCGGTGTGAGGCACTTTGTAGGGGTGGCGTGTGAAGGGAGTAGCCGGAAAAGGACGAGAAAAGGCCACACAGGTGGAGTGACACCGTGGGGCCATAAGGGGATGCACAGCGAGTTCGCACAGCCCTCCTGCACAGCCCTCCTGAGGTGCCTTCTGATGCCACCAGTCACCTCAAAAGAAACACAAAAGGCTCTGCTCTGGTTTGACAGTGCCCCTGGTGGGGCTGTGCTGCCCGGCACAGCTTCTGGACCCGGAGGGAGTTTGGAGGAAGTTTTCCAAGGAAAATTAGAAACAAGAGGAAGAAGGAGAGCTTCCCTTTCCTTTATACATGAAGGTTCATCTGCAGCCACAGACCACCTGCCCCACCAAAAAGGAAGTGTATCCAGGATCTGGTGTTCCCGTTTGTCAGGAGAGAGAATCAGATGCTCAGAGACTTCTCCAAGGGCAGGACCAGGCTGAACATAAAGACCCGGGGTGGGAGCATGCGTCTGTGTGTGTGTGTCTGTGTGGGTGGAGGGCTTGGGGGCATGGGGGCTCAGGACATTGTGTTTCACAAGTTTCTTAGGAATAGTTAACTTTGTCAATAGTAATATTCTGTCTGGTTTTTTTTTTATATTGCCTGAAAAGGATCCCTTTTCATATTTTTGGATGATTACTTTCTCTTCTAACTTATTTCATGTTATATTTGTTTCCTTAACACCTTCAGGTAAATAAATGTACAAATGAATGGGCATCCCACAGGGTCGCGTGGTGATTTGTGTCATAGACCTACACGGAAGGTGACCCCCTCGGCCCTTTAACTCCTTCTGTGTGCAGGCGTGTCCACTGCTGGCTAGCACAGAGCACGTTGAGAAGGCGTCTTTGTACAAGCATCGAGCATCCTGGTCCTGCGCTCACTTCGCGTGACGTCCCATACACATAGAGAGAAATCCACAGCTCTTTGTGAGTTCCAGCCTGCAGGGCTGCAGCTACTGGACCTGAGGCCTCCATCCGGGTCTCCCACACGGATGGCAGAACCTAACTGCACGAGCCTTCACCACCTGCCTTGCAGGGGGAGCATCATTGGGAAGCTGGGATCCAGTACTCAGACCCAAGCTCCATGATACAGAAGGCAAGCCTGAAGTTCCCCCCTACACACACACACACACACGTAGGCGTGGACGTCCTAGGTCCATTAGAATTTCCAAGGAGCTCTCAGGCTGTTTCCCACTGGGGCTACACCTGTTTGTGCTCGCACTGGCAGTACCTACATAATGGGTGGCGCCTCTTTTTTCAGGCTCCCTCCCTGGCTTCAGGTAGGAGGTGCCAACTCCCTTCGCTACACTCAAAACTTTATGGCCAGTACCTCCAGGAGAGAACCTTGTACTTCCCCAAGGCCCCCCAGGCCGTGTACCAAAAACTAGCCAGAAGTACAGATTCTTTCCATTTAACTAAAGATGATTAACCCCAAGAGTTGCACAGTAGTTGGTTTCTGCTATAGAATGCCAATCCTGTGGAACACAGTGAGAACTGCATCATTAACAATCACTTTCTCCCTGGCGCTTCTGGATGCCCAGGAGTGCAGGAGAGGGTAGTCAGATGGGAAAAAAACAATAGTTATTGACTAATTGTAGAAACTCTGAAGATGAACTGGATACAGCAACAGCTGCCCTCTTGGGTTGGCCCTTCACAGAAGCCATGCCCGAATCTGTGCTACATGATTTCAATGTGCCTCATCTGGCCAGTCCCCATGCTATTGCGTCTTTTAGCCTTGGCACTCCAGTTATGTTTGCTCTTGCACTTGGCAGGGTAGCCACACTTGCCGCAGGTGGTAGGCCTTGGTGCTGCAACAGTGGCATTGCGTGTGTGTCTTGTTTGTGACGCTTCCCAAACGACGATGTTCCCTTCCTCATCTTTCCTCTAAGGCCAAGACCACAGAGAGCGTAGATTCCTGAGGTCCACCTTAACCGAGCTGAGGCTCAGGCCCTAGACTCTTCACTGAGTCTATCCCCCAAATGCCTACAACATTTGCAAGTGTCTGTCTTGGGTGACGGTCATCAGGAGATGGAGTACACTTACATATAGATTCTCCCCCTGAAGTTTCACAGCCAGCTTAGGGCCAAGTTTTGGAATCAAATCTTCGGGCCTCAGGACACCTTACCTAAGACCATCTAAAACACCTTGAACACCATGAACAGGTAGCAGGCATCTGAGCGCCACACCTGTCGACAGATCAAATCTGGCACGTTGGTGATTTGAAGGAAGGTCCCCTGACTCCACATACCCAGGACGGGCTCCTCCGCGGCCGGCCCCACTGACTCCTGAAAAGCTTGTTGAGGCTGTGAGGTTGATCCCCAAGGAGGGTTGGGTGGGTGTGACTGAGGTGGAAGCTGACTTCATGGGAGCAGACGCAAGTCCAGCAGTGTAAGGAGGCTGGGAGGAGCTGAAACCAACGGGAGCAGGGGAGACTCCTGGGCGGGGCACATGTGAGTAAGAAAAGTAAAAGGCAGCCGAGCAGGGTCGTTAGAGTGCTGGCACCTGTTAGGGCCAATGACCTTCTGTCCATGATCTGTGCAGTGACCGCACCTCACCCTCGTGCAGCTTTAGGGTGGGGATCAGCTGTCAACCTCTCACTCCTTTCTGTCTGCAATTAACAGACGCCTGATGTCAGCCTCCCCAGCAACCGGGCAGGAAGCAGATTCACCTTCGGCCAGCCCTGGGCTCCTTATCTGTGCCTCCTCCACCCAGCTGGGCACAGTCCCTCAAAGGGCACATAATGAAGTCCTGCAACCGAACCTCACAACAGTTCCCTCGTCAACTCAATCCCTGCGCGGAATGTGGCCCGAGTTGTTTTTCTGGAAGTTAACTCAGACCTCAGATTCATGAAGACCCACCCTGTGCCCTGGCAACAGCCCATGCACAGGTGTGAAAGGGATTATACAATGGAGCTTAGGATGGCATCAGGATTGGGTCCAGCAGAGGGCAGGGCCTGGCTGCCAGCAAACTGCCCAGACTGTGGGTGGACTCAGCCCAGAGCCACAGGAGCCACCCAGGAGTAACGAGTCCCAGCTCGTCCCATTCTGGATGTTTCCCTGAGATCTCACAGTTAAGAGCTGCTCCCCTTTGTCTTCTCTGGCCTGGGAGATGCTTTTGTCTCAGTGTAGATTCCTGAGACTGAGTTGAGGTTTCTGGCGACATAGTCTCACTTCTTATAGTTACTGGTGGCAGTGAACCAGTGGATAAAGCTAGCTCTCAGGGCTGGCACTGTGGGAAAACTGGTTACGCTGCCAACTGCAATGCTACACCCTACTGTCATCCCATATTGTTATCATTTGGGGCAGCTAAAATGGTCCCCTTCTGCCTTCCCCACCACATCCATCATGGGGTCCTTTCTGTGCACCTGTGATACTCACCTGTCATCACCAAGAACCTGACAGGGAGCAGTGTTGCATTGTTGTGTAACCACGTCCCCTCGCAAGCCCCCTAACAGCCCGTGAGAGGGAGGGGCTTACTCTCCTGGTTGTGTGCTTCCATTGCTCTGGCTCTCTGATGCTTGGCCTCTGCAGTACCTGCTTGCTACCTTCTCTCATTCCCCACACCTGAGAAGTATAAAGGCCCAGTACAGCTCCCCAGTACAAGAACCAGTGCCATATGTGATCCTAGTGCAAGCAAGGCAAGGATTTAGCCACTGAGCCATTGCACTGGGTCCAGGCTAGAATTCTAATCCTGTCTACCTCACTCAGAGCAAAAAGGCCAGCAGAGGGGTGTGACTGGCACAGGCTCTCCCATTTTTTAAAAAGATATACCTTATTTTCATTGGAAAGTCAGATATACAGAGAGGAGGAGAGACAGAAAGATCTTCCGTCCAGTGATTCACTCCCCAAGTGACCACAACAACTGGAGCTGCCCCAATCCAAAGCCAGGAGTCTGGAGCCTCCTTTGGGTCTCCAACACTGGTGCAGGATCCCAAGGCTTTTGGCTGTCCTCGACTACTTTCTCAGGCCACAAGCAGGGGACTAAATGGAAAGTGGGACCACTGGGATTAGAACCGGCGCCCATATGGGATCCTGGTGAATGCAAGGTGAGGACTTTAGCTGCTACCACTCCAGGCCCTCCCTCTTCTGTTCTTGTGAAAACTCAGATACTGGCTTCTTACTTCCTCATCATAAAAATTAAGAGCAATTCCAATTAAAAAAAATTAAAAGCAATGAAAGCTGATACTTTGAACTTGTCAAGGATAGTTTGAGGGTAGGCCCTTTGCATTCCCTCAAGGGAACTTCCTGATCCTTTTTTATTTCCTGTATCTCAGAGAAGTAGAATTCACATTCCAATAGGGGCTAGATAGATAGATAGATAGATACGGAAATAGAAAGGCAGATCTACAGAGAGAAGGGGAGACAAACAACCACTGGGTCCCTCCCCAAATAGCCTCAAAA